GGATCCGCAGGACGTCACAGGCCAGAGCAGTTAAAGGCAACGCAGTAAAAAGACATGCACTGAGTTACTGTGATTGATGGACATAAAGATAAATGCAAATAGGCATCATGGTGCTATAAAGATAATTCTTCCACACCAGGGCTGTTGTCTCTGAAAAGTAAAACCAGATTCAGCTATGTGAGCCACGATATGGATCACATAAATTGAGGCATTCACAGCAACCGAGATGACTGTAAATCAAGACTATCATGTATTTTAAAGCTACCAGGAATACAAAATCCAAGGCTACAGGAATAAGGTAGAAATACAGTACGTTATTAAATAAGGATTTAACTCAGCTGAAGGCTGAAATGTTTCTGTGATTTAATGAAAGTCAATCTCCATGAGTACCTCATTGGATTCGGTCTAAAGGAGACAGGATGGATGAATGTTCCTGGCTCAATAATGGCTAGTGACTTGTAAACAATACAATAGGGGGTTGTCTTAAGAGAAGACCTTTTTTGTTCAGCAGTGAGATCTGCACATGAATTTTCCTTAGCTTAGGCCTTGAAAAATGCAGTTTGCAGTATAATGCCAGCATGAGTGATTTAACTCTTGCAAAGTATGATTTTCCTACAAATAACAGAAAATTGCAATGGCCTGAAAACTCAACTTTCAGTAGTTACTGTACAAAGAAGCTTTGGACCTTGGCAAGCACATTTAACGTCAAAGACTACACACACCCTTTAATCTTGATAGTATTCTTAAGAACCACAGAGTATATCTAACTTCCCAGTCACACGCAGAATAGTTTAAAGGTGATAACAGAAGAAAACAAGGAGGTGCATGAAATATAAATTCAAAAGATTAGAAATAGCCTTTAAATATGACATGGCAGTCATTTAATTGTGATTATTTACCCTCTATTAATAGAAATGTATTGAGAAGAAATTATGACATCATGAAACACAATTGTGTTGTCTTAAATGATGTCAAGCTCAAACTTTTCAGAAAAGTGTATATCACTGTTTTGAGGGAGTGACTGTCATTTGTCTTTACAAGACACTTCAGACAACAATTCAGTTGAATGAGATAAACAAATTGGACCAACCGCCAACGTATCAATGTGTCCTTATCTTTACGACAACAATAATAAAATAAATGTTTGTTTAATTGCTGATACTTTGACACATAGCAGCAGTCCATGAAATCGGAATCTTATTTCCATATTAGATTCTCCCTCTGACTAGTGATCAACTCGACGTCCCAAACAACACAGAGTCAGTGGCATCCACAACATCTGAGCCGTACATGAGTGTGACCTGGTAAAGCCAACTGAAACAATACACGGAATTAAGGAACTGAAAGTGTCAAGAACAGGTGAGGAGTTCACAATTAATGATGTCAAAGTAAACAGGAATCACAAAGCCAGTATTCCCACAGCTGTGTCAGGTGTCAGGCAAATGTTGCACCTCTTTGCAACATTTGAACAACTCTGTTTACTCTCTTTATGATGCAATGTGGTGCAATGTAAAGATGTGTTATGGTAATACCTGTCATGTCAAAAAAATATACTAATTTCAAGTAGGCATCGTCATATTAATGACAGGAACGGAAAGGAAAGGCCTGATTATATCACCATCAATAACCCATTTAATCTTTCTGCATTTACACACACCCACACTCCTCATTTTGTTAAAGCGGCTGATCCGCTTCTTTTTTTGGGTCTTAGGAGCAAAACCGGGTAAACAGTAATGTAGCTAGCGGAAAACACCAATTACAGAACACCCCTGCTATTCACAATCAACAAACTCTTTCATCTGTGGTCTCACGCCTTCAATATGTGGGGAACAACACTGAGGATATTTATGTTAATCTGGTTTTACCTTCTGCTAACAGATGATTGCAATGCAGCACAGGAAGAAGACGGATACAAAGGGGATCTTTTCTGCTGCTAGGGTAGAGAATCCCATTGGTGTCTACTATTATCATTTCACAAATACTTTCACTAGGTTAAAACCAAAATGAAAAACACATGCACACAAGCTTTACATTAAATCTCATTCCGAAGCCAAAGAATGTGCTCAACACGTTGGCTGTATTTCAATCCACATACTTCGTTCTTTTCTTTTTTTCTATGTTTCTCTGCAATAACATTCTTAATGCCAGAAAAACATAATGAGGATTATCGATGTCACACGATAAGAGTACATCAACAGACAGCCTTAGGTGTACATAGTTACAATAACCACTCCCCAGTGACCTCCACTTGGAAGAGCTGAAGAGAGCAATCCAAGTTCCATTAGCTGTTGAATTTGTATGAGGGATGCTGAATTTTTCCAGCAGATGTTTCCAGTGATAGTTCAGAGGAAAAGGTAAAGCCAGCTCCTATTAAAAAGGTCAGGCAAACAGAGTGTAGGCTCCTCAGGAATTCAACCTCTTTAGCCTCTGACCTACGTTTACACTTTTTACCAACAGGGTTCTTCTGCTTAAGGTTATAAAGATCCTATATGTAAGCTCTGTAGTTTCAAGTATTGCGACATGGACATCTTGATGGTATAATTCCAAACTATAAATCAATGAGGAGGATTTAATTTAACAAAAGACCATTTTGCACCCCAATGACAATCGGGTAACCAAAACAAACACCACATACACTAAAGATTAGAAGCGAATCCTCGGTATTGAGGAGCTGGAACGCTACTTTAACTTTAAAATGTAAATACAATGACAATTAATCGATAACCAAAATTGGTGCAGATTTATTGATTCATCATTCAAGCAAAATCTCAATTTTCAAGAGAATTGTAAGCTTTTCTTTGTCCTAGTTTCATGGGAAACCGATTATCTTTCGATTTTGGACAATTGGCTGGACAAACTGGTTTGAATATGCCGCTTTGGGCACTGGGAATTTGTGGGGGTGCATGGCGCGTTTAGCACGTTTAAACACATTTAGGGGACTAAATATTTATTGATTTTACTGCAAAAAGGAACTGTAGATTAATCGTTGGTTGCATTCTGAATTTCAACAATCCTACATTGAAAGCAATCACCAGTTCCATATTGTGTTCATGTTTAATTCCCCGATATAATCAGGACCCATAAACATTCGACTGGATTTTGAGTCCAAAAAATATGAAGTGCCTAAAAATAAACTCTAAATCAACATCAAAGATCAATAATAAACAAAGGAAGTTGGTCTAATGATAAACTGATAACTATAACTTTCCTCTCAATAATCTCTTTGAATTCATAAATGTATGCCGCGGCCCAGTGGTGATCCAGACAAATCCAGTCCAAGTGGCTGGCCTTAGGGCTTTAACTACTCACTCACACCACCTCTACCCTTTTGGTTTAACACCGCTGCAATGGAAGGATGATAAATCAACTGTTACTAATGATGTAACACACATTATATCATTCCATCTCGGACTCCCTGTGATGTAACTAAGTGTCAGTTTAAGGGAGCATCCAAGACTGATTCTTGGAAGTTTATTTCGCTTCACCCGCCCTCACCCCCAGCACTTCAGCTGGTCCCTCCCCCCCCCCCCTTGCAGTCACATCTAAGTTGGATTAATGGTCTCCCTGTGTCCAGATGTTACATACTGATGGAGGAGGTAGGAGGGGCTTGTGAAATCAGCTATGGCTTTTACTTTGAACAGGCTCCATCAAAATCTAATGAAACTTACATAAGATCTCCCAACACAGAGAGGGGCAGGAGCTATTTTTGTAAAGACATTGGCAGCATTAACTTTAGCTTCAGTGGCAAAATCTAGGTTCTAATGTGTTGCTTTTGCTTTAGGCATGAAAGTAAACATGGGCTAAAAGAGGGAAATTAACTGTCACATTGATATTACAAATGTTTTTCATAATCACAGCTGTCAGGACTGTGCTGGAAGGGACAGAGGACATCGCTACTAGTGCATGACTTAAATATTTTAAACTCACAAAATATTATGGATGAGTCACAATGGACTCCAGAAAAATATAAATTCTGATTGTAGCATGTGCCTTCTGGATAAACCTATTTCATAATACTATGTATGCAGATGCAACATTAAATATTACCTATGGATATATCTGTAGAATACCACATGTGCTATTTTGTACCTCTAGATTTCCATTCAAGTGCTCAAGAAAGAAATAGCAGGCAGTTAGTTCAACAGGTCTGCACTGCATTGTCACAAAAGCAATGGTGCCTTTAATATCTCATTATTACTATCAGGGATTCGGGAGTATTCGGGAGTATTAAGGAGCTCCCGGGACGTAACAGGATCACTATTCATTTCACTAGCACACAGTACCTGGCTGTCACTGAGTTGTGATTCCCAGCAGCTCTGACGCTACACGTCGGGACAAGCCGCGCCATTAATATTACACCTTTACGAGCAGACACAACTGTTGTTTTCATGCGCGAGGAGGAACTGAAAACAAACATGAAAGCTGATCCGACCGACGGCTCCCACAGGTTTTTATAGGAAAGCCTGCTGCTTTTTATTTTCCCCTTGAAACAACAGCACGTTTGAATTGTAGCTATCAGCTGTAGCCATACAGTCAATATACATGCGGATTGTGTTTTTGTTGAAAATAAATGAGAGGGGATATAGCCATTTTGTCGCAGTCAATCAGACAATATGTCGTTTTGTGGAGATAGATCGTTCATGCAAGTGTTGCCTTTTACCTGCTGGGTATTCTAACATTGAGCAACCTCACTATCTGCCATCCTTGCAGACAGGCCCATTCTGTCTGCTCAGACTGCTAAAAAAAAAACGCAGACTGGTTTTAAGCCTAAATCAACACGCTGCTTATTTGTGCGGTTTGATTAAAGGTTTTCCCAAATATCTATCTCTTCCTCTGAGAAGACCGTTGTGTGCACAGTTATTGTGAAGCCAAACCTATCTGCTGTGTTGGCTCCAACTCTGGTGAACATAGGCCTGTGCACAGATGCTTTGCAGGGGGAGAAAAAGTGGTCATGCTTTCACGAGTATCACAATGCAAGATAACACAACAGGCTTTCTTACCTACGGTTGCACCGTTAGGAGATATGATCTCCAAGCAGAGTATACATCCCAAGTAGAACAACCTCATCGCCATCTCCTGAGCAATGCTCGGCGGCACTGCTGTTAGAAAGGAATAGAGGAAAAGTTGGCTGGATTTCTAAAACCTAAAAGCCCGAGCAACCACCTCATCCGAACCCCTCCAATGGTCCGGGTGCGATTGTCCGTTGAGCTGCACCCTCAGCACGGTGTCCGCTTCAGACGGGCTTCAGCAGTAAAAGGAGAGTGGCTACAGCCCGGCGAGGCTATAGGTAATGCAGTAGCACAGTCATATATATTTCTAATTGATTATCGGCATTCAAACATGATGCACAGGGTAACCTCTGTCTCAGTGCTTGCTGGGGTCTCTGTTTCAGCACACCATGCCACTGGAGTCGTCCACACGTCCAAACGCACTGTAGCAGCCTCCGGATCCGTTCAGCTCATTCCGTGCCAAACTAAAAAGAAAAATTAAAAAGTAAAAGCGTATTTTCCCCTCGGAGCACCAATGTCTCCCTTTGCTTGTGGTTGCATGAGTGGATGGTGAATCTCAAGCTCCAGGACTGTGGACGAGCCCGTGACGTAAGCTCGACTCCTCAAAAAATGGCATAACTAAGCGGTGAGCACCGTCTGCGCATGCGCTAACACACCTCCTTTTCTCCTATTTCATGCGCTTTTTCACCAACCACCGTGGAGGTGGGAGAGAGTCGGCGCTGCCTGCAACTGCGCTACGAGATCAGCCATGTTGGCTCAATATTTCAAAAAATAATCGTGATTCCTTTCGTTATGAGAATACTTCAAAGCAAATTGAACCCCTGTGCAACCCTGACATGCCCGAAGTGTTCACCCCTAGTTCAACAATTATTCGTCTGCAGGTGTTTAGTCAAATCTAGGACATTTATACATTTTCTACCTATAAAGGGATATGTCATGTCAGTAAGAAGTAAATACATATTTTCACGCCATGCAATAATGTAACAAGGCTGCTTTTTTGTATCAATCATATTTTTGACTGAGGAATCCACATGATGAATTATGACTCTAATAGTATATGTTATTATTTTGAATCACATTTGATAAAGAAGCCCTGCAATAAATTCTGGCATTAAACTTAAAAATTGTTTTCTTTTCATGCTCAAACATTCAGAGTTGCACATAGTCAAGATAGCACAGCGATACTGTTATCTGAAGTGTGTGTGTGTGTGTGTGTGTGTGTGTGTGTGTGTGTGTGTGTGTGTGTGTGTGTGTGTGTGTGTGTGTGTGTGTGTGTGTGTGTGTGTGTGTGTGTGTGTGTGTGTGTGTGTGTGTGTGTGTGTGTGTGTGTGTGTGTGTGTGTGTGTGTGTGTGTGTGTGTGTGTAGGCCCTTCAACCTCTGCATTCTTCACTAAATCATGCCCCCTAGTGGTAAATAAAAAAGAGACAAGGGTATGATTGCTTTGATATTGATATGTTTTTGGCTGAGCAAAAAATACAATTGCCCAACAAGTTATAAGTTAAGATTTAAAAAAAGATGATTCTGTAGGTCAGATACAGACTTCACCTACAGTATATTCACAATCTATTTAACAATCAGATTACAATTTGGCAGACATTATTCCAATAAGCTAGATAATTGTTTTTAAAGTTTGTTAAGGTCCACTTTATCCAGTAATGTTGCGCTGTTTGAGTATAAAACAAGCAAACTATACAGATAGCTGGATCTGGATTTTAAAATATGAATAAATTAAGAAAAGGATGTCCTTTACAGGAAAATATAGTTGGCTTTAATACAAATTCAAGATTTTTCACAAGTCACCATTTAGCCAAAATATTTTCCTCAAGACAAGTGCAAACTTAACAATGTCAATTCTTTGAGAAATTATTCTTTAGAGCTTTGATGGGTACTCATAAACCATCCAATCCTGCAGGGGGCACTGAATACTTATTTTACAGAAAGACAAATGTAGACTGTTACTCATTTCACTTACACAACATAACAAATGATAAAATGTAATGCAATGTTTGGTACATTTTACATGGCACAACCTCTGAGGAAGCTCTGATAAAGGAGACATTTGGTTATATCGAGAATCTTGGAACTTTGCTTCTACCAAAGTCGAAGTCAGTTGTAACTGAAACGCACATGAATTACTCTTTCTGCAAGTTGATGGCATTATGCAGTGTGTGTCTCCCCTTTTCCCACCTGGGTACTAAAAACACACGGTGTAACCTTGCTGGTTACTGGTGTTACAAATAAGCGTGCCTTTCAGGGCATTTCAGCTTACAGATGTTTACCCAGAGCCTGAATCACAGGGGAGAATGTGAAGTATGTCGAGAATCTGTGAAAAACATGCCTGAGGTGTCTGGATATCTGTCGAATCCACACATATTTTCACCCCAAGCATCAAAACTGAATATAAATGCAAAGAAAGGTCAAAGGGGAGATAGTATGTTCAAGCTTAGCTAATCCAAAAGACTATTTTATCAAATGAATTTACTCTATATTTACATTGCTGTCTTTGTTGTTTGTCAATAAATCCACATGATGTCACCTCAACCTGAGAATGCCCCCTTTGTGAGAGGAGGGTTAAGTAGTGTCACCCAGGAGAGACAGACGCCAGCATGCTGTGTGGGAGACAGCTTGAGAGAGTGCCAGCGTAAACACTCCCGAACCACATGTTCTCCCAGGGCAGAGGGGCTGGACTCTCTCCAGGCACATCTGCACACAATCCCTCCGATTTAAGCAAGCCAGCCAAGGAGACAGAGCAGGGCACAGGAGGGAGAGGAGAAGAGTTCCCAGACAGGGAGAACCTGCTTCCTGGTGAGGAAATGAGGAACGCATCTGAGAGAAACAAAAAAGAGAGGATCACAAGATTCCCTGCATGCAACCTTGCAATCTATCTTTTCGCAACTGTACGATTGTATCACACCACTGGATAAGCATGGCTTGGCTATAATTATTACCCAACCTTCCAATATCCTTGAGAGAAGATGGATTGCTGCATAAATCAAACTCCTGACTCTCACACAGCCCCACTGTGCATCTGTAACTACACTGCATGCATGAAGTACGCCATTCCTGTGATATTTTAACAGATATTACTCTGGCACACTCAATCTCTTGAAAAATTACCATTTCAACTCATATTACGCCTAAATGAGAATATAAATGTACTCCCATCTGTCTCTGACATGTACCCTAACAGCTTCTCTTGGTTGCTGCCTGCTAGTGAAGTGTGGCTTTGTGCATGTTTTCACAGAGAGGTAATTACTGAGCAAGCTATGCTGACAACACCTGAGGAATGCAGAGCATGCACCAGCAGCCTGTGTTCTCCTAACCCCCCTCATCACTCACCCCCACTCACTTCTCCCCCATCTGTAACCCTCCCCCACACAACCCACTAGCCAGAGCCCCAGTCCGACACAAAGTTCAGCATGACATTTTCACAGGCTTCTAAATAGACTTGTAGATAATGAAGGTGTTGTATTATTTTGTTTTTTTTCAACCAGAACACCGATTTTGCACCTCTAGATTAAAATGCTTGATCAACAAAATTATATTAAACAGTTGCAATCCCATAAGATTGTTTTCAGTTATCCAATAGTGGAGGAAACCCTATCCAAAAACCCAATACTCCCAGCAGGCCCTGCTATTCCCGATACTGGTGAGTTCACAGTGTTGAGTCACTCCCCAAACTGTCCTTGAGCTCTGCGGAACTCACGCCAATCTGGCTTTAACACACATATCAAAACATTGCATAGATTAAACTCAGAGGGAGTTTATTGAGGTCAGAAAATGGCCACCTTGAAAAAGTGTCAAAAACTGGCAATAGAGAGTAACGTATATGAATACTGTTATTTTTATGCAAATAAAACCAAAGCATTACGTTTTGATATTGTGTGTGTGGGAGACGGAAAGAGGGAGAGAGACAGATTAGAAATTCAGCTGAGGCTCTTCTGTCTGTCTGACTAGACCGTCATGATGAAATCTGGATGAAATCCCTTGTGCCTCCAGACCAACATAAGTATAAAGGCCTTTCCGCTCTTTCTGTGTTGCTGAATTGTATTGTGCAAATGTGATGTCAAAAAAGGTATAGTTTATGGCACACTGTATGGCTGAATGAACAATTTCTACACATTTGAGTGCTCATCAGTCAGGGTACGCTAGACAACCAAAAGGGTTATGGGATTTAGTTGCCAGGCAACTTCTATTGATGAAAACACAATTTGAATTCACATGATGAGGGCCATCTTTAAGCTTGACAACTAATTACAACAAAAGTGAAGGGATGTAAGATCATTTCTGACTTAGTTAAACAGTTCATCTTCTTAAGAGATTTTGTTGGCAGAGTTGCAGACATATCTTCCACCATTAACAGCAGTAAAACCATAAGAAGTGATATAAGAAATAGCTGGATGCACTTGAAGCTCCAGTATAATAGGCTAATAAACTACCATAACGACTATAAGGTATTTTTTCAGGAAAGCATTACTTTCAGATTTTATTCCAAAAAAGTAGCTTAATGTAACTATTAGGACACTAAATGTCCTGTTGCTCTCTTACTGTATTCAGAAGATTACTATGGATAAATGGTCTTTGTTTAGTGCGCCATTTCAAGGCTTTTCATAGGTGATTGTGCTTGTTTGAAAAAAAAGCCAAAATGAAAGAGTACGCTAGCAATAGCTGGAATCAAATAATCTCACTTTTTTACATTTTTATTTTGTTTACTTTAACCCTTTCATAACTTTTTTACCAAATACCAAACATTAGATTTAAAATGATAAAGATAGCAAAGATACGATAATAAGGATTTGACATTGGTGTTTTTTTTTTTAAATAACCTGATTTTATGATAATTTATATTGGTTTCAGGTGACGTATTTTTCTTTCTTTCTAACTTGATCAGCTGGAACCATAATAGTTTAGAGGACAAAGCAATACAACTTGATAAAAAAGAAAAGGGTAAATGTATATTAGGATCTGTTATACTTTTACACCTGGGAAAGTAACTATTTTACCATTCTACATCTATATTCTCTGAAAACAATTTTCGAGAAATATTAACTATTAACTTTCCTTTAACTTCAAATAACAATTCCAATAAGGGAATTAAGGAAAAATATATGCAACATGGTCGATGTACTGCATGTATTTATATGGGGCTTACAACCCCAAACTTTGCATCCAAACATTCACCTATTCACGCATGACTGATGGCTGCCATGCAAGCTGCCAACCTGCTCATCACGAGCGGTTATGGGTTCAGTGTCTCAAGGAAACTCTGGAGGAGCCCAGGATGGAACCAAAAAACATATCAACCCTAAATGACCTCCATGCCGCCTTTTTCAGTATAAACCGTACACATTTGTTAAAAGTCATTTCCAGGTTTCAATGAATTATGTCTGCTTATAAATAGTAGCAGGCTCCTTTTCACTTCTGGTGAGTTATCATCTCCTGAGTTGGAGCTCATTTACACTAAAACAGCTGCTTAAAGTATCGAATGAATGGGTCAACATGATGCTAATGCACACATTTCACAATCACAATTCCCAAGCTGACTTGTACAAATATCTGCTTTTCTGCATTTATTTACCAAAATCCAACGAACAGAGCAAGTACGGAGTGTAGACTGGTACTTTGAGAGGTGCCAGTTTACCTCCTTGGCATGGGCGAGGTGCCCTTGAGCAAGGCATCCGACCCCCACATTGTTCCCAAGGCGCTCTATACATGGGCGTAATTTCCACTGGGGACAGGGGGGACATGTCCCCCCCACTTTTACATTTTTTTTTTTTTTTTTTTTTTACGCAAGCGGTCATCGTCACGGAGGAGCGTCTGTGTGTGTGTGTGGCACGAGCGCATCTTGTGAGAGAGAGAGATAGAAAGAGAGAGAGACAGAGAGAGAGAGACATAGAGAGTTACAGGGGTTGTTGTTAGCATTTGGTGCTAGCTCGGAGCTAATGGAGATTAGTAGCTGTTTCAACAATAAGGAGAGGGAGAGCTCTTTCCTGTCGGACTTTGAGAGACTGAGATAGAGAGAAATAGAGAGAGAGAGAGAGAGAGAGAGAGAGACAGAGAGAGAGACAGAGAGAGAGAGACAGAGAGAGAGAGACAGAGAGACTGAGAGAGTTACGTGGGTTGTTGTTAGCATCTGGTGCTAGCTCGGAGCTAACGGAGATTAGAAGCTGTTTCAACAATAAGGAGAGGGAGAGTCCTCTCCTGTCGGACTGAGAGAGATAACGTCAGCTCAGGGAGGTAAAGGACTCTCTGAGTGATTAGGTTGTAAACTTTAGTCTAGTTATCTCAGTGGGTCTCAAACGGTTTGGTCATCTATGTAAACACATATTTCCATCTATGTAATATATAGTTGTATATAAAATAAATTAAGAAATCCTTCCAATGTGTACTATAGGTCAGTACAAAAATAAAAAACACAGTTTGAAAGGGGAGTGATTAGTCAAATATGCATAAATAAAAAGAAAAAATGCAGACTAGGTAAGATAAAGATAGGAGAGAGGAGTTTATCAATGATTTGTTATTGGTTGTGAGCATATTATAATGTTTTTTTGATTATTGAAATATATACAGTTCTGTTTCATATGAGTGTTGAGAACTGTATCCATAAATCTCTTAATGTTGCCCTCAAAGTGCACCAGATTGATGCATTCAACTTCAATTTAAAGAAACAAATCTTCCCGGGGTGCATGCCCCCGGACCCCCCTAGAGGATGTCAGGTAATCACAAATAAAACAGGTTCACATGGATAGGATACTAGATAAGTGTGCACACTCATTATATACACTACACATTTTTCTTGGATTTGTTAACACTATAGTCCCTAATATATTTGTAGAAAGGCAGGAAATGGAATTAAATTGAGAAAATATTTCATTGCGGAGGACCCCCTGTTTTGTGTCCCCCCCACTTCTCAAACCAAAGTTACACCCTTGGCTCTATATATAATAGCTGCCCACTTCTCCTAAAGTGGGTTTAAAGCAGAGTCTTTTACTTGGTGCTGTATCCATGTGGGACAATTAAAAAAAAATATTAGATTCTAATACTCCATTTCAAATCCTAAATTATCCAGGGTGACTTGGATTACTTGTACAGTGGGATTTTATCATTCTAGCTTTTATTTATTTCCTTTATGACCCTCAAAATGTTGGACAGGAGGCTTGCAGGCATAAAACCCTGAAATAAAGTGAGATATGAGACACACAATATCATATAACCATGTAGAGTGTGTAGAGCACATCAAAGTGCTGGGAAGAGCGACTCCAATCCCCACCGCTGTTCCCGGCTGAATATCCCCGGCTGACGTCAGCTGACTGCTCGGCTCTCCGCTCCTCCGGACACAGCGCCGCGTAAAAATGCTGCTCTCTGTGCCGCCAAGGACAGGATTCAACCCGTACAACGGCTACACGGGCAAAATCATCAAGAAGGTAAATAAGAACACACGCAGCCTACTTTTACCCTCTCCTTTTCATTAACAGTCAGTCATTTCTCGATGCGGTGCTGTTCGAGCCCTTCAGTTAAAAGCTGCTCGGCTGTTTAAGCTGCAGTGTCCTTGAAAGTGGATCACAGGCGACGTTTAAACTCTCTTACTTGCTGTTGCAACCTTTGCTTTGGGCTTTTTTTATTTTGTTGCCACATTGTACAAACTAACACGGGTCCCGTTACATTGTTGCCTGTAGATTACTACAACAGTTTGCTTTCGTTTTTTTCCCGAAAGGCTCGCTCTTCCATTCCTACATCTAGCCTGCACGCAGAGAACCGCTTATAAATGCGCTGTAGATGCTCGTTAGGCTGCGAATAAGCTAATAAACGCTTACTATATTCGACTTTAATGTGAATTCGTGGGGGTTGAATCAACTGCGTAATGTTTAGGTCATGTTTCATTGAATTACCCAGAAGTTAGCGAAGTCTTTTTTTCCTCTTTTACGCGTACCCATATGCCCCACCCCTTCGGTCCTTCTAATGATGACTGAGTGGGTTTTGCATGGCATTATGGAAAAGAGGAAAGTTACAGAGCCCATGTAATAAGACTAATGTAACATATGTGGCTGTATGGGATGTTCAGATCAGTTATAGAGCATTGTCAACAGAGCTGGATCAATATCTAAGGTCTTATATTGATCAGATTGTCTTCTCCTATGAATAATTCATGGGGTGACATTGTTCAACCACCTTTCCTGTGTAGACTATATCGATTTTTTTTAATTCTAGGATAAAGGTTTTACAAGATCACAGAAGACTGTGTGCACAAACAGTGTAAACGTATTAGTCATGTATAGGATTTGGAGCATTTTGATTTGTGATTCTTAAATAAATAGTTAAACTACTAAGGTTTCATGCCAAAATGTGTTTGAAGAGAAATATGTCGACGCCTGACTCAACATTTCTTGAAAAACACAAGAACAATACTGAAATCAAATACCTCCCTCCTTCCCTGTGTTATTCCCTTCCCTGCCTTGCGGCTGGCAGGAATTCAGATTGCTCAGATTAATGACCTGGAATTCCTGGAATCCTGGATTCAGACAATGTGCTCATTTCAAGAGGGGCTCTGCAAACTCAAACCTTTTCCTTGAAAGAAGACATGCACACATGTTTTATTTTACTACACATTTTGCATTGTTAGAGCGCCAAAGTCACACAGAGGAAAGACTTGTAAATCCAACGTCAAGTGCTAACCCCTGGTCCCTGTCTTTTACTACGAGAAAAAGGGCGGAGAAAAAGAAAAGGATTAAGACATTCCCCCCCCCCCCCCCTTTCCTCTGCTTTCGATTAACTCCCCGCGTCCTTCTCCTTTCTCCCCGGTGTGTTTCACATACCTTGATTTCTTGTCTGTCAGTGGTTCTGTTCACACGGAACAGAGCCTGAACATTCCTCCTAACTGACGAATCTCTGCTGTCTTCATGGTGTTGGATACCTGTTGAAAAATACTTTTTTAGTCGTCTGTAGAGACTTTTCTGTTGTTTTTAATAAAACTGGACTGAGACTGGAGAAGGAGTGCAAGGAGAGTTCTTACCTTTTAGCCACAGGACGCCAAGGATTTTCATTAATTTTCTGATTTGGTTTATTCCACATTGTACATTTTTTCTTGCAGCTGCAGGGATATAATATAAAGATTTTGTATTCTGTTACACTATGATCTTTTCCACAGTGCCTTTTAAAGTTTCTCTAGCAAAGCAGGTAGGACTTCATCTTTTGTATATTTATCATTCAAGATTAAATATTTAATGTATTTGTGAAAATATTCTTGCATAGCATGATTACTGTTTTCTAAATATGGAGATTATGACTTTGACTGTTCATTTGTGCATTTTTTAAATGCTATGGTATGATTATAGAAAGTGCAGTTATGTTGAAAGTAAGCAAACGTAATCGATTTTAACTAATTGCTAGTATTACGTTCATATTTATTTTTTAATTGATTTTATTATTTTCCTAGAGATAAAGATAATTAGATGGGAACTATATGTGACCTTTAAGAACATTTTGTTAGATTGTTTAATTGCATTATTTTCCTTATCAGTTGCATAAAATATTTGTGTTGCCAGAGAGATGTTTTCTTTTTCATGCGTCAGACAACCAGACTAGTATCTAAGCTATATCTTAAGAGTTAAATGCATACACCATGCCTCACTTGGCACTCATTGTTCCCTCCTGGATGAAAAAGTATTTGAGTCACCTGCGCTCCCTACAGGCATCACCTCTGCCCCCCCAACTGTAATCACCTCATCAGTCTACAGCTGCTGCTGTGAGCACACTGCCTCTCTCTGCATCACGCTGTTGGCCATTTACTGTAGTTACGCTTCTTTCACAACTGTAATAATAATACAAAGAGCCAATTCATCTTACTGCAACTATACTCCGTAGTCTCTGATATTAATTGGGATGTGAGGACTCTTTCTACATATATATATATATATATAAAAAATATATATGTCTAGTTTCTCTGTACAGTAAGTACTACATTTGCTTGAATTAACTGAGCATAAATTGTTCAGAATAGGAATCATTTGTTATTATACATAGAAGTAATGCATCTAATTTTCTATCCATTTATCATGTCATTTGTTAATTGTACATGTGTACAGGAAGGTTTCCTGTATTTATCAGTTCCCAGAGAGCTGTGCCTTCAGGAATGTAGTTCAATTTAACGATGAGAGCTTGATCCATAATCTTAAATCAAAAACATGTCCGTTCACTTTAAGGAGAGAAACATAAACATTTGGGAATTTCAGAGGAATGTAAGGAATGTTCAGAGATGACACTGTGGTGCATGTCAAGAACAGTGTAAAGAAAAGTGTGTGTGGCTGTGGACTGACAAGTAAAAAGTAGGAAGGAAATCAGAAAGATGAGGTCAGATTACGGGCAGACAAATTGAACGGAATTGCAACCTTAAAAGCTAAAAAAAAGTTATCTCCTATCATGCACATTTAAGACACTTAACGACTTTCTCTTTTTTGTTCTGAATGCACATTTTCCTGCATTTGGCATTACCTTACATGGGTGGCGAAACACCTGGAGCTGGGCTCTGGGGCAGATGGGGAGTAGGTGTGGATCTGAATCACTGCCATATTTTCCTCAGAAGGAGCCTAGCAGAGCGATCTTAATGAGACACTACCTTCTGACTAGAGAGCACATGAGAGGGATTAGTGTTTTCCGCTAACAAGCTCAGATCCTAATTAGACAGGCCTCAGTAGCCCGGCAAGGGCCCAGACTCGGTCTCCCGTCAGATCCTATCTCACCAGGCCTCTGCAGGTGCATCCCTCCTGATAGTGTGTGCGGGCCACCTACAGTGAAGGCAAGGGAAAGCACAGGAAGAGGCTGTGATTGTGGAAAAGCAAACAGTGTGCTATTGATGCTTAGAAGAGAAGGAGATTAGAGAACAGGGCTGAGATGAATGGGCTCTAAAAAGACAGGGAGTAAGTTCTGAAGGCTGATTCCACTTTGGAAAACATCAGGAAGCCAATCAGGTAATGTGGATAAAATAAAGCAGCAAGAGTTATTGTTGTTGCTAGTAATGTTAGTTAGTTATTTTACACATATGAAACTCATAAGTAATACGAGATATCAGAGTACACATTTAACCTGTAGTCGGTGTTAAGCTGTCAGGTAAAAATGACTTTGTTTGTATTAGGAAATATTGCATAAAATGTACATTTTGCTAGTTATATTGCCTGTAGATCATCAGCTGACTTTAGATCACGGTTTGATGTTCATATTCATGTAGAGTGAACGCAGTGTATTTGAAAGTTTCGCTAACCGGAAACACAGTTTTAAAGTCTTGAGAAGTAGTTTCCTTAAACTATAAGATGAGGTCTCATTATTTAAGCGGCATGTATTGCACGTAGGTAAGGGCTTAAAGTTTAACTTTATGTGGGACAAAGTTTGAGAAATGCCATGTAATTATTCGTATTACGTTCGTTTTAAAAACAGCAGCTACCTTCCATTGCATGACATCCAGCTAGCTAGCTAACGCTAAATGTTCAAAATGTTTCTTCTGCACAAGTACAGTATGTCACAGCTCGTGAACACCTTGTTTGTGAGTTTATATAACACATCGCAAAAATGAAGTGCTTACAAACCTGATTACTTTTAATTTAATGCAGCTTCATGCCCTTTCCCTGATATCTAGTTAGCGTTGTTGTCGAATTTTTGTATTGACCTCTGATGTTGACTGACTTGATATGTAACCAATACAAACGCGAATAGCAACAGCTCTGTTAGTTGATTGGTTGTGGTATGTTGGCATACTCATGATTGGTTGATTTTCTTTACTTCCCGCCCAGAGCTGTTTACTGCCTTTTCCTTCTTCCTTAAATGTTGATGTCATATTTATATTTTAATGTTATTTTCAGTTATAACATTCATACCATATTTTAATTGAAGAATATCAGAATTGATTTTAATGTTGTAACAATGCAGGAATTATACTGCAACCATAGTGAGTGAACTTTCAATTGTTAGTTTCTTAAAATGTGTTGTTACTTTAGAGATTTTATAGTGTTTCCCAAATACAACATGTGCTAGCTGGGTAGAACAGAGGCCTGTACTACGAAGCTGGTTCAACCTAACCTGGATATGTTTGAGTTAGCCGGTTGGCCCAATCCAAAACATACGCGCTCTGGCTAAACTGTACTACGACGCTGGTTATCAAGTGGATCGCTCAAGCCAGCCGTGTCCTATCTAGTTAGGTGCGCGTTCACATGAAAGGGGTGGTATTTGGAGCATTCGACCAATCTCAAACACGGACAAGCGTACTGACAGCGCAGCGTCATACTTCCTGAATGAAAAGTGAACTTTAATATTAGTCAAATATGAAGAAGTTAAACTTTAAACATCCATGACTTAAACACTTTATCCAGGATAAAAGCCACATAGCTGCACCTGCAAGGTGAATACAGCTGGTAAAAGAAAAAGTGTTTGAATGCGTACATTAACAGGTTTATGAAATCACTGCCCCGTCCAAGACACGAGTGGATCTGACTTTAATTAGGAGAATTTGACTCGAGTGTTTCATCAACTTAATGTGTTGCTTAAATAATACTTCTGCATACAGTATGTGACACTGTGAGTGTTGCACGGCCAGATACGGCTCAAGAAGCTGACTCAAATAAGGAAATATATGATACATTATGATGTGATATGATATGAATGATAATGGGACACATCGACGTCTGCACTCACAGTGCGGCGGACTGTACTTAATGTTACTCTGATCCGGTTACTTATGTCGTGGCAGATATTTAAGTAAGCTTTCTTAACGCTAATATTATAATAGTTTGATTGCTCTGAAGATGGGAGGGGATATTCTATTAATTTTCACGTTCACACAGTCAGTTGATTTTGGCCGGCCGTCTTTCCTGCAACGGCAGTTTTTCTGTATTTCCTCTATCCTGTAATATGAATTGATCGCTTTAAACTCCGCACACGGAGCTCTGATTGGTCAGCAGGCGGTGCTTTCACTGAGTTGATCTCTTAGCCTGCCACCTAACCTGCTCCGGAGCAGGTTTGCCGCTCAGCATAAGTTAACATGGAAATCTAGCCTGCTAAAAAGAGAACCAGCGTCGTAGGACCGGAAAGCCCGAGATTTCCCTGAAGTTAGCCGGCTAAGCGAAAATCCAGCTTCGTAGTACAGGCCTCTGATGTACTGGAGAGTTGATCATTAGCTTGATTCTAGCAGTCTTTTGACAGCTCCCTCTCTGTTAATAAGCTGGTGGTCCAGTGCTGACCTTGTGGTGTCCAACAAGCCATCCCATTGTTCCCTGGGGCAGAGCCTGCTGACCCTTACTAATCAAACAGTTCCTCATCCACCAGCACTGGCAGGAAGGCAATACCAAGGCCAAACTTAGCTGACATTTGACATCCAGTTTTAGTTTATTCCATGTTTTGTAGTATTCAAAGATTTTTAAATGCGATTATTGAGAACAGCAGGCACACAAATAACATTGTGGATGTATACAGTAGGCCAGGGCTATTCAATTAGTTTGGAATGGGGGCCGGTTGATGAAAATGATCCAAAGCAAGGGGCCGGGAAAAAGATGGCTTGAAATATGAGCAATCATATTTAAGAGCTTCAGATACAGTAAATACTACAACAGCATAGTGGAGTGCATATATTGTGTTTAATTCAATCAAACAACATAGCCCCAAGGCCTTTATAGATCTAAATGGCAAGTTCAGAACTCAGTAGGCCTACATGTTTCATTTGATTTCATTTAGGTGAAATGATCTAATCATTCACGCAGAGATGCAATCAATGACAGGAGTTGTCACTACAGTATAGTAGGTGGGTTCGAAACCCGAGCCCGTCGAAGTTTTCAGGCATTGTCTACCCCTCTATCTCTCAATGTAACACCCTCTCTGGAATAAAGGCACTATGGCACAAAAAAAAAAAAAAATTGATTACTTTTTAACGTTATACTCAAAGGGCCAGTAAATATCACCCCGGGGCCGGATTTGGCCCGCGGGCCGCCAATTGAATAGCCCTGCAGTAGGCAGACTGGGATAAATATATGTGACCTTCAAAATACTTCATATGTCCCAGTTCATTCAAGTCATTCAAAAAGCATTTACTAGTATGTAGCCACACAGAGTTTTGCCACCCCAACAATACAGACAATACTGTTAAATTGAGTTAGTTTTGTTGCTGTTCAAAGCACTGAAAAACATAATCTAAAAAAGCCAATATAAAAGTTTCTGTCCGGAAACAATTTCCTGGTTACGGTTGATAATCCACAGTTCTCCCTGTGAACAGTTTGGATTGGAACTGTTTCAAAAGCTCCCAATGAAAAAAAGTCCAGCTTCATCCAACAACATAAAAGCCTCTCTTGTAGCAGTGTGGAGCGCAGCAACTTTAATTCCAACCAGATTCGATGTTACATATGCTTTCATGTAACATGGGATCAGTTGCCTTCACTAGACAGCCAAAGAATAGTTCCCATGTATGCTACATTATTTTAAACGGTATTACAGTTTACATGTCGCTGCTTGTAGAGGAGTTCAGTTAATTTTACCAGTAAATGTTTGAAGTATCTGTATAACCTTGTAGTGGCTGATTTATATGATTTCCATCTCAAAACAGGGCACGTTAAGAGCCTGTAGTCCATTAATACATTTTAACTCTTTTAAATACAAAAATTGAATGAACTTTTGGGATAACATTTTACTGGAATTGTACCTTATGAATACATGGTACAAACAAAATGTATTGATTGATTGTCTACAAATCATCACACCAACTTGCAAAGATATTTTGTATGTTTGACCTTTCAATGATTTTTCTTGTTCCACATCCAGAAAGATACTGCAAATCTGCTTTGTGTTATTTGAACGATACCAAATCTTACTATGCCCTGTGTTTGTTCTCCAGCAGACGTATGTGTCCCCTTCCAACCATCACATGGCTCCTCCAAGCCCCAACCACAACAACAATAGCAACACCACCTCCATCAGCAATGGCAGCAGCTGCAGCAGTGGGGGAGAGCAGCTGAGCAAAACCAACCTGTACATCCGCGGACTCCACCCAGGAACCACCGACCAGGATCTAGTCAAACTCTGCCAGCCGTAAGTCACCCAAATACCAATTGCTCCAACTTCACATGCACATCCAATAATTCTCTCTCTGTATGCTGGCTGCTAACATTAACCAAGTTATAGCTGCAGACTAGATTAAGATAGAACAGAGTTCAGGGTGCATGGTTAGATGGCTGACCGGCTGAATGCGTCAAGGATTGCATTTCCTCCTTACCTGCCTAAGCATTAGCAGGTATTTCTGGAGCGAATAAGAGGGCCACATTTTCATCCACGTGTTTTAAAGCCCATCATCTAGTGGCCCTGTGGAAAAACCAACAATCATTTTGGCAGCAAACGTAGACCTTTCACTTTGGCACAGCTAAGCACAGACTTTCCAACAACTAGGTACAGAATGTTTAGTCTCCCTCTCTCACGCTAATTCTTTCTGTATGTCTCCTCTTGCTCCCACATAAATTATTTCTCCTCTGTGTTTAAGTCTTGTAGATTAGCATCAAACAGTATGATGTGAATAATATTATGCTCTACTCATTCATTGTCATATTTTGCACTATAAATAACCCACTCATGTTGCTCATCAGTGCGACTGTGAGTCTTTGAAAACTCTGTTGTGGGCAGCATGTAGTCACACATCAAACAACGGCATCATCCAATCCATCTGATATGTTTGTAAGGCTTTCAGTGGAAGACATCACAACAAGTAGGGCTGAGATGAATGGTCTGGGCTCACGTAATTGAATTCTGGAGCCTGGTGATGAGGACCAGAAGAGCAGAGTGAGAGAAAAGGAGGGAAAATGGGGGGATTGGATAAGGGAGAGAGGGAGGGAGAGGCCTGCTATTTTACAGCTGTCTGGAAGATATGGCTCACATGAGGCTGCCCAACCCTACAGGAAACGGCGAGCCCAGGGGAAAGGGAAAGACAAACAAGGGCAACAGCAGAAAGGGGGGCTGAAGGGGGTGGATGGAGAGAATCAGAGGGGGAGGAGTGGATGGAGTTCAGGGTTTGTGTGTCAGGTGGTGTTCTGTGGGGGTAGTTCTCAAATTTCTGCTTTTACAGAGCAGATAAAATCACTGCATGAAATTTGCCTTTTAGCAGAACACATTAGAGCCAATGTAACTCTCAGTTAAACTAGACTGAGAGAGGATACTGTCTCCAATAATAGTTAATTGGGGAAATGCTTTTCGATAAGGATGTAAAGCAGTAGGGAATACAAGTAATGGAGACAATTTGACTTAGTTAACACAAGTTAGAACAGCAAATGTGTGCATGGTTTCAGGACACAACACACCCAAAGCTCCCCTCCCCCACACTCAGAGTTGTTGTATGCTCGCTCTGAGATGTACTGTGTTGGGAGCGAGGGATGAGAGGACGGGATGGGGGTTGGTTCTCCATCTCCGGCCCCTGCAGTAGTTTCTCTGGGTGCCTCGCTGCCGCCCTAGTCTGTATCTAGTGGTTGACCATGGATGGACATGGGGCTGGAGTATGCTCCCTCACACATGGCTGAGTCTCAAGCCCCTCTCTGCGTTCTGCATCACAAAGTCAAAGACCTCTGAGCGCAATTCATTAAACGGCTATCTCAACTTCGTAAGCAGGAGAGTAGAGTGAGTAGAACTGACGGCTTGAATGCTAGAAATAATGTGAAATCTTGGACTGGTGTTATTGCTGTGCGCCCAGTAATGATGCATCTGAAAATATTCTAAGACAATTTAGTGGCATTTTATGGCTTAAAATCAGAAATGTTCCATGAAATAGTGACATAATAAAATGTCTATGGAAAATAAAAAATTGAGAACATATCGAGGAGGTTTTATGAAGGGGATAAACACAGATAAGACCCAAGAATGAAGATAAACAGAACGTTTGAGGTTATTTAAAGCCACTGAGTATAAACATGCTTCAGTGGGTTGACATACCAAGCAGGAAGAGAAAGTCGAACTTCGATGAAAATCTCTAAACTATCAATCATTTAGAACAACTTAATATCCAATTTTAGTAATCCCAGAGATTAACTGTCAGAATAACATTTTAGCAGGTCATTGCATAATCCCTACTAATCGAGTATATTTAAAAATTGACTCTTTTGGCCTGGATTATATGTGGCAGTGGTGCAGTGTCAGTGAATGAAAGCTGGATTGCTTTGTGAGAGGCACTAAGACCCAGTGGAGGGCAGAGCGCTGCTGAGAGAGGCTGGTTAGTAGAATGAGAGTATGGCTGGAAGCCAGCATTGGACAGGACAGCCAAGGAGAGGCATATCAGATTACACTGCATGCACATGCCTGGAGAGATGGGAACCGATAGACACTCTGCCGCACACAAGCATTTGCCTAAGTCAGGGACTATCCTATGCATCGGCAGTGTCTTTAGCTGGCCAGCTGGATGGATAATGCAGGATTTTTGTATTGATAGTACAATTATGAAGCAATCTGAAAGTGCAGCAGAGGGATTTCTTTTTACTATATGTTCACATCATGTTGGATTCCCCTTGAGTTACGATCCCTATTGACATCTTTGTGAGACCTGGAATAAATAAAATATGGGAAATCTATAGTTTTCTAGCATGCAGAAACCCACGTGACATTATTCTTATTTCATTGAATTGATGTCCCACCTCCTCTCTAAAGATTTCCCTATGCACATCATTTATTATAAGATGGTGTAATTGTATTCAGTGTCACTGCATTGAATCTGTCAGGTGAATTATAATTCAGTCATCATGGAGTACAATCCCATAGGGTGTGTTGAGTTTAGAGAGAAACCACGCTAATGCTAATATTGAATGTAAACAAGGCTTTATTTTCAGCAAACAGTGCTAGTCCAGTCATTGAGTGTGAACCTTACTCTTTTTCAGGTATGGAAAAATCGTGTCCACCAAGGCCATCTTGGACAAGACTACCAACAAGTGCAAAGGTCAGAGAAAAGGCCTCAGCAGGTTAAAATCAATTATGCTGCAGAGGTTTAATGATAGGAAGTGGTACAAGTACATTTTGATATAAAGATTCATGTAACTTCAGACAGAGAAACACCAACACTCCCCAAGTCACAGGAAGACACAAAGGCTTGGAAAGGAATCAGAGGTTCTGTAGCATTTGTTTTGACAACTGTCTGAGGTTTTCACAATTTGTTTGACTGCAACCATTTTACAGGAAAAATGCCTGCCAAAGTTTCATTTACATTACTTTTGTTATGACAGTCAGTTAAGCCAAAGGGCATTTGTAAATTCCTCTCCCTCTTAAAAAACGTTCTCCCTTTGTGTAACTTATTTATGTTTGACTTCCTATCAGTTCCTATTGTTCAATTAGGATAAGCCTCAGCAGGCATTTTTCCATTTTGTAATCTTTAGATTATTTCTTTAATATAGTCAGTAAATAAGTTCATACCACCCTATATTATCACGTTCTAATTTCACTACAACACAAAAAGGTGAAATGACATCAGCGCAACACTAAATAGTTTCCATCTCTTCTGCAGGTACACCACATTGCTATTTCTTTCTTCTTAATAAAGCTATCTCAAGTTTTTATTTGGTTGCCAAAGGTGTACTTTGTTAAGCTTCACAACTATACGTACCTTACAGGTGTGTATTGTGTGTTGTAAAACGTTATCTGTGAAGAAGCACAGTCCAAACCTCACTGGCTGTCTTTTCAGATTCAATCGTACTATAAGAGCTTCATGAGCTCACATTACATGCCTGTGTCCACAGAGTCCTGCGGTATGCATGTCATTGTCATAACGTGTATGTCTTGCTGTATGTATCGCTCCCTGCAGGCTATGGCTTTGTTGACTTTGACAGTCCGGGCTCAGCTCAGAAGGCAGTGACAGCGCTGAAGGCGGGAGGAGTGCAGGCTCAGATGGCCAAGGTAAAAACACCATTTGAGATGTTAATATTTAGAGTTCATTGCTTACGACTTAGTTTTGGCTTTAATCAAATAATGTGTGTGGAGTAAAAGTATAAGCACATGAAAATCAGACTTTCCCAAATGTTCACAGTGACTCAGCAAAAGTTCAAGGGTTAATTATAAATAAAAAATGAATTGCTGAATTATTAACCAGTGGAAGAGCGTTTGTTCCTCGGTCTTATCTGCTGCTTATAAAAGTCTCTTTTAGAGCTGCCGCAAGCTCTTTCTCCATCTTGTCGTCTCTCCCCATGTTTTTTGTTATTATTTGTGCCACGGTTCAGGAATATAAGCCAATTAAGCCTCAGTATGAGCATGTCTGGGTGTGTGTGTGTGTGTGTGTGTGTGTGTGTGTGTGTGTGTGTGTGTGTGTGTGTGTGTGTGTGTGTGTGTGTGTGTGTGTGTGGTGTGTGTGTGTGTGTGTGTGTGTGTGTGTGTGTGTGTGTGTGTGTGTGTGTGTGTGTGTGTGTGTGTGTGTGTGTGTGTGTGTTTGCTGGGCGGTGCACTGGGTGTAGGCTTAAATGAGTGTATTTATGGGTATTAATGCACTGTAGAATAAGTGTGCACAAACGTGTACATGATGTGTGCGTGTGCATGTTATGCTTCATAGTGGGGACGGTGTTGGGGGAGTGTGTCCCTGCCCCCTGTACAAAGGAGCTGTGTGTTCTCCCTGGTGGCATCTGACTCAGTGTCTAGAGCAGCTCCCCAGTCAGCAGGGCCCTGTGCCCAGCCAGCCGCCCTGTCCACACACACACACACACACACACACACACACACACACACACACACACACACACACACACGCACACACACACACACACGCACTTCACCAGCCTTGCCTCAAACGGATTATGACACACACAAACAAGCCACACACACCACCAACACCCTGGGAAAGCTGATCTCCCTGTAAGCTGGATCACTGACACTCATACGGCTTCTTGCTCACAGAAAAACTTGATTTCACTCACCTCCTCTCTCCGGGTTTACAGCGAGGCTTATGTTTGAGTCAGATTTCTCTCTGACTCATTGTGACTCATTTGCGGTTGAAATACACAGCAGGTCTTCTTTGCTCACATGGGTTCGAGCTTCATCTCCTAGTAACACTGCTGTGGAGGAGGAAGAGGAGGAGGGAGGTGAAGGAGAAATCACCTTCAGCACAGGTCGCAGCTATTGCATGCATTATTCATGGGGTGAAAATTAATTCACACTGCATTTACAGGTTTAATCACATCTGCACTGAGATAATGAATATGCATTATGGTTAGAGGGTGGTACAGATTGGTTATCTTACAAGATGCTGTTGTTCAAATCTAATTTTCAGCAGGAGGGTTAGGGTTAGAAAGTAAGGAAATACGAAGCCTACAAAATAGTTCAAATGCACAAAACTAAACTGAAGCACTTCTAGGAGTTTCTTTCATGTTGTTCATTAATAATTACCAAGTCAGTTTTCAAAAACCTGCATAATATGCCTGATTTATGCAAGCCGACGGTGCCGGCCTCATGCCTGCATTCAAGGTCGGGATTACCCCATAAATATTACTGCATGAATGCAAGCGACAATATTACCATGATCTAGGAAACAGGATGACAATGTTAGCCTTGTGGGGACGATGATAGCATAATGCTTTAGATTCTCTTCAGATCATTTCCAAAGGTCTTTGTCCAAAATGTCTCTTCTATGATTCTCAACCAAGCGAGAGCACATAATCATTTTAAATCATCCATGGATGAAGAGCCATATGAAATGTAATTATGCTTTGATATTACATTACCTGGATCCTGAAAAAAGAGGCTAGTCTCTCATAATGAGCCTGTCATACCCTTTTGGTCATAACGTGGGGTGATGGAGTATGAGAGATAAGCAGGGAGAAGTAAAGAAGTTGGAAGAGTACAAGTAGAGGCAGAAATAGAGAAATGAGTTCAGCTGAAGTCCAGCCAATACTATCTCCACCATCTCTGAATTTCTCTTTTCTCCTTAGACCTCCTTGCAGCTCACGCCAAAATACACTCCAGACACTCCACTGTCATTCTCAGACAGTTTTTAACTGTCTTGCCACCCTTTTAAATATCAGACACCTCACACACTTTCTAAACGCTATATAAATTCCCTTTAGCCTGCAGCTAATGTGTGGCCCTTGATTGTTGAAGGGCTCCTGACATCATAATTCATTTGGGTTTCTGCCATGCACGAAAAAGAAGAGCTCTGTCAGCTCAATTTCATCGTGCATTAATTACCGTGTGGCTTTTTTTTCTCCATTCAGCAACAAGAGCAGGACCCCACCAACTTATACATCTCCAATCTGCCGATGTCCATGGACGAGCAGGAGCTGGAGAGCATGCTGAAGCCCTTCAGCCAGGCCATTTCCACCCGAATCCTCCGTGACGCCAACGGAACCAGCAGAGGAGTGGGCTTTGCCAGGTTAAGAGCTTTGGTTATTGAGTTACATGTATTAGGACAGCTGGTCAAATTGATTAATGATGGCATAACCGTCATGAGCCATGAAGAAAATATCCAGTTTCAGTATTTTCCATGGTGAGTGAGCCCTCTGGTGGCCAGTGAGGGTAGCCAATCTCCAAGTGGATATATACTCAGCACGATATCTTGTAACCTGCTATTGTTAACAAAATAATAATTTAGTATATTATTTTTCTATAGGATGGAGTCAACAGAGAAATGTGAAGCTATCATCCAACATTTCAATGGAAAATATATCAAGACTCCTCCTGGAGTTCCAGGTGAGGTTTATTTTATATGACATCTCGTTTGAATATAGCATTATTAAGAAATAATAGGAAGAAAGAGTATAGTATTTATGATACACAACAAGTAATATTCTCTTACTTACTTACGTACTGAATATTTATCTTCAAATAACATCATATTTTCTCGCTGGTCCAGTGCCACCAGAGCCCCTGTTGTGTAAGTTTGCTGACGGAGGCCAGAAGAAGCGTCAGAGCCAAGGAAAATATCTGCAGAACGGCCGGCCCTGGGCGAGAGATGGCGACACTGTGAGTTTATTTCTTAGTGTTAATGTCTTCTGTGGAAACACTTTAGTATGCAACTTTGCTTGTGACACAGTCCTTTGTCCCTTTTCTGCAGGGAGGAATGACTCTGACCTATGACCCCACCACAGCCTTACAGAACGGGTCAGTACTTCTACTAAGACAAACCCTTTAAAACCCAGAGGGAGTGCGACCATGTTGTGGTGACTAATAACGTTATGTCTCTTTCTTCAGATTCTACTCCTCTCCATACAGCATCGCCCCCAACAGGATGATGGGGCCCACCTCCCTCTCCCCATACATGCATTCACCTATGTCCACCTACCAGGTACTTTCAGACCCTCAGAGCTGGGCTGTTGGTTAGTTGAGATGCTAAACATTCCTTTTTTTCTTTCCCCTCTGTGAAAAATAACTTACTATCCTCGTATCTGGCAAACAAAAACAATGCCTAGAAGCTTTGCTTGTTTCTCCTAAGGGGACAGTTCTCTTTGTCAACTTGACTGCTGACTTTAATACAAAATCTATATATTGTAACTAAAGTTGTCCTTAACAAAAGACATTCTTAATTGACTTACAGTCATACAATTTTGTCAAATAACCGACACGTTGATTCAATAAACAGTGCATTTAACAGGGATGCATTCATACGTTTTTCAGAAATGAGTTATTGAACATAAAAGAAGCATACAATCTAATTGTAACTAAGACACATTTTTGTATGTATGTTATATCTGTATTTGTAACTACTTTTTTGTACTATTTTTTCACATTCTGAAATTTGGCAATATCTATGCTGTCTGTTTTTTGTTTGGTAATCAAATATATGTTTTAAAGATGTTAAACTGTGGCTTAATCAAACCCAGGCCTGCTGTCAAATTCCTGTAAACTGTAAAACATGAGTTGCCAAAAATGCTTGAAATCTTTAAAACAGAGCTGCTTCATTTATGGGGCTTTTCTTGACTATTTTCTATTTTGCTTGAAACTATTTATGTTTTTCTTGTTCCTACAGGTACACAACCCATCCTGGCTACATCACCAGTCCTACATCATGCCGCCCACAGTGAGTATCAGGTTTCTTTAAGCCTTCCTTCCTGTTTTTGTTGCAGGAGAAGCATTTTAATATTCTGCTGCCTTCACACTCTGTCTGTCTGACTAACGGTGTCTTTATTTTAACGGCAACTGCTTACCCTGCTGTATTTGTTTTCTTTATAGGGAGCCGTCCTGACGCCAGGAATGGACCACACCATGTCCATCCAGCCCACCTCCATGATGGGGCCCCTGGCGCAGCAGCTCAGCCACCTCTCCATGGGCAGCAGCGGCACCGTCAGTACAGAGCAGGACCTTCATCATTTAGCTAGCTGATGTTCAGCTGTTAGATAGTTTAACCAGTCTATGATTGTGTTATACAAGAAAGTCCAAGTCAACTTTATTGTCAATCTTTCAGTTTGTGTGTACAGACAGAGAGATCGAAATACCGTTTCCCACAATCCTGAATACAAAATACAATTATATATAGAAATATGTATAAACCTATATACACAACCAACAGACACCTACATAAGTGTATAGTAAGGTTATGAGAAAAGCAATAATCGAAACTTTTCCTGAGGATTCACTGACTCTTTTTATAGATCTGCCGAATCCATATAATGAAGAAGACTTTTATTTGGCAAATTAGATCAATCAAATTAGTTAAAATTCGATTGAATGTTATCTTGAGTTTCAGCTAAGCTTTGCTACCTTAGCTGATAAACACAGTTGTAATGTTGCTTATAAATCGGGTCTAGTACAGCTTCATTTGACAGAGTTACCGCCAATGTAGCTTCCATGATCTAATGGTCATATCCTCTCTATTCTCCTGCAGTACATGCCTGCTAACACGTCTATGCAGGGGACCTACATCCCCCAGTACACCCAAGTGCCTTCCGCCAACATCTCAGTTGAGGTAACAACCTATATTTGTCCTCACGAGAACAGTTTAAGTGTTATGTTGAATAATCACAAACATTAATCATTGTTTCCTGCCTCAGGAAAGTGCCGTCCAGCCACCTGTTGCCATAGAGACAGCCACAGAACACGCAGCCTACACCTACCAGCATAACAAGTGAAGAGGTGGCAGAGGTGGGTTTTAACCAGTTGTTGTTTGCTTGTTTTGTGTCTGTGTATGTGAACATAATATTAATCCAAAAATAAATGTTCGCTTCACTTTGATGTTACTGTTTGTCAGATCTTCTCCTGGAGCCGGAGTTGCTCTCTCGAGGGGCCCAAAGTGCTGAAACTCTGCACACGACTCTGAACGTATGGCACCAGACACTCGGGAGGAACACGGACTGTTACACAGAAAGGACAACAAAATATATATTTTCTACAAACTCATATTTTAAAACAAACTCTTTAACTTCAAACAACCCCGGCTGGAGGATGGCAGGCAATGGAAGAACAGAACAAGGATGCATCTATTTTGATATAGGTCAAGAAAAGAGTCAAACACAGACACACACAGTCAATGCTTCAAAGTTTTTGTGAAAGTTATATATTATTTTCGAATAATACTCCGGGGAGCTAGAATGAAACCAGGAAAACACCATTTCAACACCATGTTTTATTTTGAGTCATGTTTCTTTCACTTTTTTGTAAGACATGCCGATTTTACTTTGTTAGTTTGATGCTTTCAGGCTTTGAACCTGCCTTTTTGTACATAACTCTTTGTTTTGGTGTGTTTCTTGCTTCATGTGTCCTAGTTTGACTGATGCAAATGTATAAATACAGGGCTCTCTAGGCTAAAAGGAGAAGTATTTCCAGAAGTTCATGCTTTAGACCTCTCTCAAAGTAACAGCAATTTGATCAGGTATGAAACCTTACCTGAGGTGGTCTCGCTTCTTTTTGGCACTTCAAATAATTTATAGTTCCAACAATCTCGATAAAGCTGCAGACAATCATAAGATAACAAAAAAGATAACATGTAGAGATGATTTCACAGGAAGACTTATTTTAAAGAGCTAGATTAAAGCATTCCAGAGATTATTCACAGGAAGATGAGCTGCTCCACTCCAACGTTTTCTTACATCTCACACAGAGCTGCCTGTAAATAAGAGATTTAAATGTATTTAGGCTTTCTTTTGATTTCCTATCATCAGTCTAGTAATGCTTCAGTTCTTTTAATAACAATATTATACCAAATTGTCTGAACAATGCAATATATGTATTGCTGTGTTTTTTGTATGAGGGGAAGCTGATTCTCCACAACATCCCAAAAATGTTTCTGAAGCAAGAATTAGATGTTGTTATTAGAGTTTGAAGTTCTTATTACATGGACATGGAGAACAACTGCTAAAGTGTGGCTCTGTTATTCCATCAGAAAACACTATCAAGGTTTATTATGGCCAGTTTAATACTGGCCATTGTTTTGTGTTTGCATCTGCTTACTTACTTCTACCTACTTACTGCATTTCTGTTTTTCACCCTCATGTTTTTTTACATTTCTTATTTAAAGGTTTTCTTGTTTTGTTTTGATTCAGTTTTAATACGTTTAAGATTTTTTTCCTATTTTTCAAAGAAGTTGTGTGTTTATTTTTGATAGTGTGTTGTGTGCTTCACATAGTGTGAAATAGATGTTTTCATCTTTTTTTGAAATAGTGATTTGTTTTTAAGTTTGCATACTTCTCTTGTTCTGTTGTCAGTGTTCATGTCAAAGACATTTCAGTTCTGTCTGTGTTACAAATGTTGGCACTACTCCTGATAGTTACATATGCTAGGTTCAGATACAGAGTTGTTCCCCAAGCATTTGGGAACAATGTTAGAGAAATACTTGCTCAATACCTCGACTTACCTCATCCTGCCAGAGAAACGTAGATTCAGTTTGTGTACATGGTTCACAGGCAATAACCAACAACAGTAGGTCTCATGGCTGTTCACAGCTGGTACTGTGTCCACTTCTTCCAACTCCTCCGTCCAGTGTTTGGAAACACTCCCAAGGTCTGACGATCTATGCAATTAATTTATGGTCCTTACAAATGCAATACTCCAGATATCCCTTCCATCGTGAAAGTGATCGCCTCACAATATGACTTCACATTCTGCCTCACTGATTTTATCTTTGATAAGAATTGTTTGCTTTCTGACTGACACATTCATGTCTGGTTCATTAACTGTTAGTACAATTGCTGCATTAAAAGGGAACTATTTCAAACCAAAATCTGGTTGTTTAAATGACTGTAAAAAGTAGGAACTCCAAGAAATATAAAAATGGCAGGTGTCGTCCACTTATCTACCCAACTTCTATTTTACATGAAGATGTAATTCATTCTTCCATCCGGTAGCATTTTTTATGTTCTGGTTACATTTTTTCAATCTGGTCCCGTTAGTCAAATTGCTTTTTGCTTAGTAGGTGACATGGCTTCATTTCCAGGAGAAAATTAAACTTCACAGAAATGCCTTAGATGTAAGGTTTGTCATATCGAACGTCTCTGAACATGGATCTATGAAGCAACATAGAAACATTTACATTTTTAAATTACTATCTTCGTTTCCACTGTCATTCAAATATTTGCATCCAAAATGTTGAAAGTAAATGTAATGATGGCTAATTTAGTGTAAATAACTATTGCTGCTAATAGAAATGTTTAGGTCATCACATTTAAGTCACATGGGGTCAGTTTGTAACTCATGTTCAGAGATGTGTGTGTTTTGTTTGTAGTGTGCATCCACCAACCTCTCAGTAAATGTTCAGTCGGTCTCCTTCATAGAATAAAACCCTAAAGCTATTAAACATTTAACTTTGTTTAGATTTGGAACTTGTCATTTTTTTTTTTGAATAAATTGTTTTCCCTGTGGTTTGTGTTTTTTGTTACACGAGACAATTCCTCGTAAAAGACATGAAGCGTTTCAAATAAGCCGAGACACATGACCAGGTTCTCTCTTCTTTATCAAATGTGGCAGTTTTCATATAAACCCGATAGAGTTTGAGGTAATACACAAACAGTCACAATACATAAGAATTCCTTTCTAAAACACACTTGCATCTAAATAAAAAATAGATAAGAAAAATGTAAAGAAAAAGTATATTACACTGTTCAAGATGCTGTATGTTTTATACAAAGTGGAAAATATACTGAATATGCCCAAAAGTTGCTGTAAAAGAAGAGACTCTGAATGACATAAAATAGACTTTGAACCTCAATTTACATCTTTTATAAAGAGAAGCAGATAAGGATTTTATACCCTCCTGTTTTAGGGTGCGACCAAGACTTGTTTTAGCAAATCTGTGGTATGGGAAACATTTTATTATCACTATAAATCATAGTCTGAGGCAATACTTTAAGACTTCTGTGCCTTTTAATGAAAAATAATTACAAAAATAGTTCTGTCTTAGGTGACATGTTCACATGATGCACAGAAAAACTCTGATGCAAAACACAGAGACAGACTTTTAGATGCCGTTTAAATCTCAGTTTTCATGGTAAGGTGAAATATTACTTTGAACGCACTATGAGTCTCAAAGCATGACAAGAGACACCAAAATGTACTATTACTTTTGTTAAACAAATGATACAGCATAATGCGCTCTTCTCCCTGTAAGACAAAAACAAGTACACTTTGTATGACGAAATCCAAACATTGCAGCTCAGAGTATGGTTTGTGAGTCAGTACAGTTTTCCGCTGGGCGTTACAAAACCAGCAGTGTGTCGTTCACCTGCTGTACTGATGCTCGGCTGCACCACATAAACAACAAAGTGGAGTAGAGTACTGAGAGGCGGGGCTTGTTGCAGCTGAGGGTTTGGATTGGCAGGAGGGGATGAAGGGAAGCAGAGCTGGTTCCTGATGTCCTCAGCTGGTCTGCATGTCTTTCCCAGAGCAGGACCACTGTGAGTGGATCCTGCTATTGAGCTCAGCCATCGCCAAGACTTCTCAACGTTCGAGACTGACTATCAAAGTTCATAAGCCTCGAACTGATATCACAACAGTTTGTGGTTCAGAATCTCCCAAACAATCCTTCTTCTGAAGTAGGGCATGTGTTTCTGAAAAGAAAAGAAAGAGCACGTCATTTTGAGGCCACTGAAATGATGATTACCAGAATCTTTGTTTGTCATTACCTGTGTGAACGTGATTGGCCTGTCTTTGGTGATGTAATCTGCATATTTGCATGTGAACATTCCACAGTCGCTACCATTCATCTGCTGAGGGATTTCCTGAGGGCATAAGAGAAATAAAGAGGTTATTTGACATTCCCCCTCTACAAACCCGATGATTTATCTGAAAACCTACTTTTTAAATCATTGAAAAACCACAATAAAATGAATGTGTTAAAGGATTTCCAGCACCTCTATGAATCCCGAATTTCATGATGATTAAAACGACTTCACTGGGTTATAACGCTGCAGTGCAAAACAAACCTGAACGAGCTGGGCATTTTCTAAAACTATTATACAGAGCTTTGTGTTGACAATTAGCCTATGCCAAACTTCCTAAACACATGCCATTTGAAAACACAACATGAAATGGCAAGACAAATGCATGCTCTGCACCCTTGTGTGTTTAGGACTTACACTGCGCTTTTTGCTGTGGAGAGTCCAGTCTGAAGTATCCAGTGCTTTGCCCTTTTTGTCTTTACTTTCCTGTAGCAGGTAGTCTCTGGCAAGACAAATACAAATAACGTTTTATACTCTATTATTGCACATGAAAAACAATGAGCATTAGTTACATTTAGCTCCCAGAAAATATACCATTCAACAAAACTCTTATATGTGATACTGAAACTTACAATAATATTTGGCACGCGCCGTCATTGTTTCCTCCCATGGAATCAAAGTACATAATAGCCTTTTTGCGGAAATCCACAACCTGAGAGAGAGAGTTGCACAGTAAAAAAACTGCAATACAAAATCACCAAATTGTTACTTCCAGGTTTAAAATCATGTTAAAAAAACTCACCGAGAGGCACCAGTGCACCCCCAAGTGGACAGGAACCAGAAGGATGTCTTTAGAAAAGATGTCTGTCTTCTTAGTCCAGCGGCGCACGGCAGAGTAGCCGCTGCTGCGCAGCCTGGGGTAGAAGAACGTGTTGAAGGTGTTGACCGACGGCAGCTTTGGGTCCTTGCTGCGCTCCACCAGCAGGTTCATATAAAAGTTGATGACCTGAGATATTAAGGAGGGAGAGTTTCAATTCACTGAACAAGCACAACTCTAGGCTCAGTTGTGCTACATGAATTACAGACGCATTATGAAAAGGATAGTTCCAGTCCAATGTTAAATACTGTTCAAACAGCTGTGATCGCATTACAATTGTTTCACTGCACCATTAGTCACATATTGTGAAGTGGTTTGTTTAGTGGGACAGAATAGAGCACATTGTTATTATTATTCTCAAAAATTATTTTGGCTTTGTTCCTTTTTATGAAACCTTGCCGGGTATATTTGATAAAGATGGTTTCATTAAAGCATTAAGAAACTAACTAATGACACCCTTCAGCTGTTTTCAAATCACTCTAGTGGGTTATTGCTTAATTAAAATCATGGTCGTATTTCTTGTTTTTATATCTGATGTACACATCTGCCAATAAAGGACAGCCTGCTGATCATTCACACGCAGATCTGACCTCTGGGATAAAGTGCACTCACCTCGTCATTGAGCCAGTTGAGGTCGCTGAGGGTCTGCAGGTCTTTGCGGGTGAGACTGAGACCAAAACCTTCACTCAAAATTTCATAATGAGCTCCGTCCAGCGCCCCGTTCACCTCATCATCCATTTCCTTAACACACAGAGAGAGCATACAAGTGAAAAAGCAGAAAGCAATGTATTCATCTAACCTCTATATTTGTATCATTATATATACACATTTGTCCCCAAATTCATAAAGCTTGATGTCGTACAGAGAAAGTCCTCACCTCTGTGAGTTCAGGGAATTCTGGCTTCTCTTCCAAAGGCTTTGGTTCTTCGATCACACGAGTCAAAGGAACCTCCTTTTCCAAAGGAACTCGAACGTGGACCTCCACATCTGGGCTGCGTTGCCCCTCTTCGGACAGGCGCTGGGAACCAGTAACAACACAACATACGTTACTGGGAGGAGAAGAAGCTGATAAATGGATCTGAAAGAGAGCTGCAGTGGTGCGCACTGACCTGCCGCAGCAGCAGGGCCGTCAGCGCCTCCTGCTCTTCAATGTGTCTCCGCCTCTCTCTGGCACGGGAGTCATACATACTCGTCCTACAGTGACAAAAAAAGACTCATGTTTCCTCTGTTCAATCATAACATCAGTGAATAATGGATCAATAATTAAACACATTGGAAAGTACTTACAATTCCTTTATCCATAACTCGGCTTGGAAACATGGCAGGCTGTAAAGGAATAGAAATGTGTTATTGTGCATACAATCATAACACCCGAGTTGACTTTAGTCACTGTTTTTACTCCACCAAGTATAGCAGACTTTACATGGTACTAAACTCATTTACACTTTCTAAATTAACAGCACCAAATGCTTCGATAACGTAAAATGATATTACTCGTTTCATTTCCACTAACTCCAGTGAAATCCTATGGTGACGAAACAACGCAAGGAACAACAGTGCAAAGATTAGTGAAAATAAATACTGACCTTGAGCCGTCTTGCTTTTTACCCTTTTTCTCATTAACAATAATAACAGAGTCACTGCCATGAGCTGAGAGAAAAGAAAAGGTTATTATAGCAAAAAGGAAAAAATACAGAAGCAAGCTAATATTCAATTTATTATGAACATCCCATATCAAGATGCCTTGTTTACTCAAAAATGTAGAAATGGTACCTGATGACTGTGTGTCCTGAGAGGAGTTATCCTGCAGAGCAGATGGAGAGGGCGTTGATGGGAGAGTGGCTGCTCTGCTGGAACTGGGGTCCATGTCCGAAGACCATGTCTGGACCCCTGGCCTGCTGGAGGCCCCACCTGGGCTCGGGAGGTTGCTGGAACTGTGGCTCGACGTCCCCCTGGGGCTGGGGGGATTGCTCGGACCCTCTGAAGTTTCCCCCGCTGCTGACAAGCTAGGGGAAGTGAACTGTTGCAGTCTGCGGCTGGAAATGAGGAAGCTGGAACTGATGAGAAAGTGACAGGAATAAGATGAAGATACCATCCAGAACACAGATATTAAGTATAGACATGGAACTATTACTATTTATCCATTTTTTTAATTCAGTTTTTGATAGATGGATATATCTATTAGTTGTATTCCTTGCCTGCCGGTTCCAAATACAAAACATAGATGTGACTACCCCTTAAGCATGCTTGAATCACTGTTGGCAACAGAACAAAAAATAACACATTTTGGATAGAGTACCATGGTTGACCTTATTTGCTTTTGAAGCCCCCGACTGGCCTGTGACTGAATTCTGACACAACTTTCCCCCTGTGCCCCCCCTATTCTGTATTCACTTTTATACCTATCAACAGTTTGAATATGACACTGGTCAAGTCTACTACATTTGTATGGATGCGTACAAATCTCTGTGTGATCTCACGATGGCGTGTGAGCCCCCGTTGTGAAGAAAAGATGACTGACCACCCGAGACCATGGTCAGGAGCTGCTTGTAGACCTCCTTCTCCTCTTCACAAACAGACTGCACAAACACAAAGGAGAAGCAATAAATCAACAAAAAACACACAAACTGAGTTAGAAGTTATTAAAACAGTCCGTATGTCTGACCTCCTGTGCTGTGCAGTGGGTCCGGGCATTGTGAAGGCGCCCAGATGAGCTGCTGTGTGTTGGGCTCTGCACCACTTTGATGGGAAAGTTATTCTCATACATGCTGGTGCAGGAGCTGCTTGTCACTCCAGTAAAACTGCAAAGACAAAATTAGCATAATAATCATCTACCTACTGAAGTTCATATAACAAAAAGCAACAGCAATCCTTATTGTTGAGCCCTGAACTATTTTGTCTTGAGGTAAAAGGTGAAAGAAATACCTTGGTGTTCCATATGGTCGCAGGTTTAGGGGCCTGCCGAGCCTTGGAGAGGGATGCAATTTTGGAGTTATGGAGGCTGGCAAGTTGACTGAGTGCCCATTTGTTTTTGGCACTTCACGATGTGTAGGACTCATGCACACTTGTCGCCTACAGACTTTGAATCCCACATTGGTCTTCTCATTGCGCGACCATTCTAGAGTTGAAAAAAAACAGTACAATAATGAACTTCTCTCCAAGAGCCTTACGTCTGCACAAACCAACCTTCATTCTAATGACAATAGAATGCTCTTAGTGACCATCTAACCTGATTTGGATGCTTTCCAATCAAAAGTGGTCGAGGGAGCAGCGAAGTGCTCATCCAGGCAGTTCCTTTCAACAATCTTAAACCAAAAGAATATAGGACATTTTTAATTAAAAGCGTGAAATGTTATGGAATCTCAACAGCCAAGACTGAGCATCCTTACCGGCATCCCTGCCCAGACTGCTGCAGATGTTGAGGGCTGGGGATCTTGAGGTAAAGGACCTGGGGTGGCAGGAAGTATATTTCTCAGAGCAGGGCTCACATTGTTCCTCATCCATGTAGCTATACTGGAGCTGTGACTCTTAACCCCTTCAGCTGCAACCTTTACTGTGTCAATAATATCTCCTAGTGAAATGTAAAACAGACGGACAAGATTGTAAGTAGCATAACACTGATTCAACTATATGATCACATACACGGACATCATAACAAGTAGCAAAGTGAGTTATTATTTACCCATTCGAGATTTCTTTATTACACCATCTTCATCGAGGTTATGCCCATCTTCCAAACTTAAAGGGGAAACAGATTGACGCTATACAGTTAATAACACATTCATTTAGACAAGTGATGATAGAAATATTCACATAACAAATGTTGAATCGAGACAATGAATGGCAGCTCTACAGAAACTGTTAAGTTCACCCATAATATAACAGAAAACAAATTTCGGGTCGGTCTTTTTAAACATACTGACTTTTGACTACACATGGGAATATTGCGGTTGTAGCTCGTACCATTCAATTGGTCTTTTCCTCCTCACCGGACCGTCTGCTTGTGCCGGGTGAGCATCAGAGTGCTCCGCAGCTGGGACACCGTTGCGAAGATTGGCAAAGCTTGTTTCTATCCATCCGTATATTTGATTCAACATGGCTTTCAGAAATATAACCGCCGGTTTGAAAATAAATAGCTAAAGTTGCTTTCAGTCTACCTGTCAATATAGTCCCAAAAAAATGAAGCTAACGCGCATCATTCGATTAAAGCAGGTAAGCTGAGGCTATTTCAAAGGCTAACGCTCTTCACAATTAACATTTTCCTTTCCCACGAAACGAGCTAACCGTTAGCTAGTTAGCTGAGAATTAGCTAGTTGCCTAGATAGCCCACTACGCTAACCACCCGCTAGCTAACAGAGCTAGCTAAACGGCTAATTTATTGAAGTATGTTTAAATTCCAACAGGAATGCGACAAGTCGCAAACAACGCCTTCGGAAAAAAGTTTATCATGTTGAGTTACACCCTAACTCATTTATATATCTTTAACGATACTTTAAATTGTATATAAACTCGTTGAAAAATATTATCTCCCGCTTCTTCCTCATTCAAAACCACAACATGGCTGAAAAGGACGCTCAACCATCGCTCATTGTGATTGGCTGACAGGGTGTTTTAAACCCCAGTGTAACCGTCATCTACTGGCTGAAGGCAGACTGGTGGAGACCATTTAACTTCACGTCACACCCGGCGGTATGGAACAAATCTTTAATCATTAAAATAATGTTTTTAGGTTCACAACTCATTTTCTCTCTTGTTTTATTGAGTCTTAATGAATCTTCACATCTCGCGTCTTTTAATTTTTGTAATTAATATGTCCTTATTAATGTATTATCTAATGATTTTTTTATCAGCACTATAATACAATAATCAATAACTCACCTTAAGTGTTTCTATTGTTCTGTGTTTTATTAAAAATGTTTATGATCATAACAATACATTCCAAATGTATTGATGTATAGATTATGTTATCGTACAAAACTTTAGCAATACTTTCATTTCTTAAATGGAGTTACATGAGTAACACAGACTAAAAATAAAGGTAATCAGTTAAAGAGGTGTATTATTGGTTAAATGATAGAGACCAAGAGAGTTCATTCATACACATCCACTCTTTAATAAATTAAAAACAGTAACACCAATGCTTCGATGAAATGCAGGGTGCTCTTTACACAATATATTTCATCAATATCATCAAATAAAGATAGTCCAAGGCCACTTTAGACGACTTATGAATTCATTTCATGTTTTAAACTCACACTTTCTGAAATATATATTTCGTTCGGTCATAAAAAATACACTTCAAATGTCATGAAATACAGCATTCAAGCCTTTCTACAACTGCAGGCCTTATCAAAAGTTACATGAGATTCCATGCATGTATGGCACTGTTTAATTTAATTATCAAGTGTCACCACTTCAAACAAATGAAATACTTAAAAATAAATAGGACCAGAATGCCAAATATCTATTTTTGCACATACTAAATATATTTAACTCAAAACATTTTAGATTCAAACATACATATTAAACAAATTACATAATAAACAATGTGAATGCAATAAATGACAGCCTCAGAGTTAAGTTAAGTGGAATAAAAGTATGAGAAAAATAAACACATAGACTACAGAGTAAACATGGATAACAAATCAAGGCAGAAGTGAAGCAACATCCCAAATCAAATAAATAACATTTTTAGATTGTCAAGAGTGAAAGTGTTTCTTGTAATTCACAGTATTCAGACAACATTGGATCTGCTTGGAAACACAAAAATAGTATTTTTTAAAGACATATGTGTGCCTTCAGTCACAAAATCGACTCCCCCAATAGATAGGATGACTATCTTGGCAAAGTTAAGGCTTTTTAAGAGCCATGCATATTGAATTGTAGATCACATACCTATTGAAGAGCACTGACATCTATTGTGTGCAATACAAATTTGATTTATAGGCAGGAATGGACATAAAGACACCAATACAGCTTTATATGAACACTCACAGTATGTTTTATCTATTTAAAATGGAGGAAGATCAATGATTGTTTCCTGCTGGTAAAGCTAGTAAGCTAACCCTATGATGTGGTGTAGGTTTACAACATGCTAGAGAAGAGGGAAAGGTTGTAGACATTTTGGATTTGAACACTAACACATATCTATGTAAGTGTATAGCTGTACATAGGATTAACAAATTATTTGTGGCCTAATCAGGATCAGGAAAAAAATGAAGTTGTTACAATTGGAAGCATTGTCACCACAAATCACAAACCTTCAAAATACTTTGATCTTGTCTGCCTAAAATCCCATCTCTTGTATAAGGTGGGCCGATGGTTTAATCATTTTTTGTTCCAAAGATTTGGAGGAAGAAGGAGAAGATATAGATGATATCCAGGTAGATGTTGAGAGTGGCAAATACGTACTCTTCTGGACTAATGCTGTAGCGCTTGTTACCCATGATGAGCTGGGTATCAAATGCTAAAAACTGAAACAGAAAAAAAAACAGCAAGCAAGACATCTTTTTGGTTATTTTGATTCTCATGGATCTGGTTATTTATAGTTGATATTAGATATAGCCTAACGGCATAAGTACTCTTACCATGGTGAACAGTATTGCTCCCAAGACAGCGTAGGTGGCATCCAACCAGGGTACCTAAATGGGAAAAACATGCAATGTCAGTGTTTAGGTCACCACACACAAAAGACACTCCTTCATATTTGAAAGCATATGATGGTACAGTGATATCCGTTTTTAGTAAAGTCTGCACTAGTCTTATGTCAATCTCAGACTTTAAATTAACATTTGTATTTGATCAAACTTCATCTTGGTCGACTCAAAATGCACGTTTTAGTCTTGCCTGATAAATAACGGGTACAGTGGCTCTATTTGGATTCTCGTACTTACATAATGATAGGGAAGGACCATTGCCAGCACTATCCCGGAGACAAACATCACCATGCAGAAGACAAAGAGCACCCCTTGGTATGATGTCAGATCAATCTGGACGGAGGAAACACATGACATCAACCCTGTGTTATTCTCACAATGTGAAAAGCAAATGTTTTTTACTGTTAATCATGCATACAGTATATCACATAATATATGATATACAGTTAAGGAAAATGTTTTTTTTTCTCACCTTAGATTGAAAGCTGAAGACTGTGACCAGGAGACAGACTGCTGCTGTGATGCCCAGACACAATACCACTGACTTGGTGTTATAGAAACTATTAAAAAAAGAAACATGCAAACAAAACGTACTGAAAATGTTTCAAGAAATGTAAAACCAAACACATAACCTCAAATAGCGTAGAAAAGTACATTGCTGCTAAAATTATCTGAAAGCAAAGCCATCATGCTAACTAATAAGAGAGACTGAAGCAGCAAAACATAATGCAAGGTTGAACAAGACATTTACATAAAATGGTGCATAAAATATAGAAGTGTACCTGGACAACATCCCTGTCATGTATGATAGGGAGAGGGTCTGAAAAAGACATATGATAGTCATGTGAAAAATCTGGCATTTGTTACATATAATATACATTTATTTTGGAATAACATTTATAATATAGAAAACAACATTTATGTAAATATACATATTTGCCTTGTACTTACAAATATGCCAAGCAGAATCAGATTCCATGGAAACAGTCTCCTGTAAGAGTAAGTTAAAGTGATTTATGTTGTTATTTTTACTTTTTTGAGAATCAATCAAGGATGTCAATTTCTGGTCTTCATAACCTTTACATTACCTTGGTGCAGAGCAGCAGGACAGGGTCAGATATGTGACAAAGAACACAGCACTGTTAAAGAACAAAAACATAGTTAGATATTTTGCTAGATAGAAATGACATGAACCAAACCGACAGACTAATGGTGTATTACTAAATAAACCTGTTACTTACTAAGATGCCCAATACCAGCCAGGGTTGGTTTGAATGTAGTCCTTCACGGGGTCACTAAAAAGAACAGTCTTAGGTAAGATTGCTACCAAGAAAAACATGTTTAATGTTGTTCACATTTTTTATTATAAGCTCACCAGAATGTGAAAAGAGCCACAATAGAGAGAGTGACCAAAAGCTGGATCATCAAGATGGTGTACACCTTATAAATAAAAACATTTGCATAACGGTAAATGTACAGATATGTGCAGGTTGGGTCTTTTAAGGGTAACATGTTAATATGAAGTAAATTATCAGTGATACACAGCATTCACTATGTAATATTGAGATCAATTTAATGCTAAAGATTTCGATACCTTACGTATGAAGATCCTCCGGATGTTACGGTCATCCCAGGTGAACTCTGTGAGCATCTCACAATCATTGTAGCAAGGCGCACTGGTGCCTGGAGAAAAACAATTAATTAACATGATAAACATTACCATATGTAATTTAGAAAATAAAACGACACTAACAGTAAGAGTAAATGTAGTAGGACAAGTTGTTGGTATACCTGCAGTGGCTTCTTCATAGCTGGGAGGAATTGGCGCCACTAAGACTTCTCCACTGCCATTGGCGCTCTTATTTGCAAGTAACAGCTGATATAATAGCACAAAAAAAGAACAATTTGTTATACGTTCCATTTAGTGTGTTTCACATTTTAGTTGAGAGTAAGACTAGATTTGAATCGGAAAGAAATCCCTACAACATATCAAATAAAGTGAACATCTGTGATGCAAGGGATCACAAATAAATAAGCTGCAATTAAAGGTGAATCATCAAGCCTACACTTTTACTCACATGTCACCTGCTTTTACCCATCAACATGGCAATTGATATTTTACATGGTTTCAGAGGGGAGCACTGACACATTGTCTTCTTCAAAAACGACTACAACTTGCTACCCTTCTTTCAGCTGGTTCAGGAGCCCAGACACACTCGCAACTTTAAATGAACCGAAAATAAATAAATAAACAAGTTTCAATGTTTTTTAATATTGGATATGGTATGTTATTGGTTATTATGGCCATGTTCTTATGATTTTATGACTATTTAAATGTATATAGTTATGTTTCATATGCGTGTTTCCATAGATCTAGTCTCTTTATTTCCCCCTCAAAATGCACCAGATTGATGCATTTAACTCCAAAATAAAAAATGATATCTTACCCCCCTAGAGGATTTGAGGTCCACCCCCACTTAAAATATGTTCACATGGATAGGTTCCTAAATACATTTGCACATTTTCTTTAAATAGTAACCCATGTCCATATGTTTATTTTGGGGTAGTAGATTCAAACTATAGGGCTATCACTATGGGCAGCAACGCTGTAAATATTGACAAATAAATCCAGCAAAATGGCACAAAAAAAAATGGTAGTGGCCTGGCTGAGTGTATAATGTTTGAGTGTGTGCGTGCCTGCGTGCGCGCGTTCCTGCGTGCGTGCGCACGCGTTAGTTTTAAATACCCCCATAGAGCTCAGTTTATAACTCGAACCCTGATGTGAAACTATGTCAACAATTATAAGCATGTTCATTATCATTGCCAATAGGATTTAACTATAGGATTCCGTAGTGGAAATGTGCGCAGTTGGAATTGCACGTCACTACGTCAGACTAGCCTGCGTAGCCCTCTGCACGTCATTGACGCTAATAGGCTACATTATTTATTATCACAGCATCGGACTTCAGCTGCGTTGGAAGATAATCTACCGGCTATGCTTATAAAAGCCAGAAGGTCGTTTAAAATCAGCTATCTATGTTCCGCAGATTTTTTCAAAAACCCTCTTATACTATTCTCACCAGCTGGAAGAAAATTATGTGAGGCACACACTGGGAATACATATTGGCTTCCAGAGCTACAGAAACAAATGTGTTGTGATGGTGACGCAACATGGCAAAACAACATGTGACGCACTTCATTCATACATTATATCATACACATAATACTTAACTGTTAGGCATTGCACACCATAAACAAATATATTTGCAGAAATTATTAAAAAAAACACAAGGTCACTAAATGAATCAGCTAGAATTATGCTTGTTTATTAAAAATCCACTGCCTCAAGTTCTAGTTGATTCAAATGACTAATTATGGTGATCTTCACAACTAAATAGGTGGTATTACCAAAAATAATTTAGCATTAGTGATACCTAAGGGATGGAAGTAGAGACAAGCATATCAAGTGACTGTTATGGAATACTCAGAAAATCAAAATGCAGAATAAGACAGAAATAGCAACTGAAAGTCATTAAAGCATAGTCATACCTTGCCCTGTGTCATGATGCCTGTCTGTTTTTCCTGTTGTCTTGTTCAGTAGTCCAACCAGTCAATGGGGCTCTGGTGTCTCCTTTCTTTAAGGTTTTTTTTGCAGTGTCTGGCCAGAGTACTGACAGCTGTGAGAGAGGACCGTGGATTAATAATGCTCCTCTTGCCTGCTCAGACTGGACACCATGTGACGATTTTGTGATGTAATCCACCAAAACAACGCAGTTAAGGCTTGTGCAGTTACCCCTCCCTCACCCACTGATGGATGTTCTAGCAGCATCCAGGTGAAGCTGCATCATAGAGAAAAGCTGGGACTGTACCAATGCAGAAGGGAAAAAGGGGAGGATGGATGCCTGCATGGTGCGTAATGAGTGAAATCCAGACAATTCTGGAAGAATGGCCTGCAGAATCAACTAGGAGAAAGTGAAATAGGTTTAAATGTTTTTCAGTAAATGTAAAAAGGCCTGTTGCATTTTAATAACATAAAACAAGTGGCTTATTTTTAAGTAAAGATCACAAATTTACAGCTCACTTTCATTTTTATTTTCACTATAATAAATGTTTTATATTAGTTCAAATGATTGGTGCCAAATTAGACTTTTATGCTAAAGAGCATTTGTTTAATGAATTGAAACAAAAACAAGTTTCAAGTAACAAGGTCAGCATTTACTATAACATAAATATACAAGTAGACATTTGGTACTTCCAATTTTGGATTTATTTTATACTGAATAAATATTATGAATTCTTAATATGTTACGAAATAGTAGATAATATTTCCAGTTGAATCAACAAATACATTTTCATTATGTACAATATGCATACCTTTATTTCAGAGTGTAAAGAGCAGATAACTGTTAAGGTAATGCAGAGAGAAGATATTCTGATGGTGCAGAAGAAACATTCAAACTTGGATCAACTTGAGATTCCTTTTCAATAAAAATAAAAAGATGTTGGAAAAAACCACATACAGAAATATTGGAAGAACTAACATGCTCCTCATGACATTCCTTTGGATTTTTATTGAGCTCTCTGTAAAGTATGTCATGTCTGTTCCCTATAGATGGTGACAATGATGCAATGACATGATATCTGGAATCGTTTTAAGGAATGACAGAAGTTTTAAGATATTCCAACAGTTTACTTGACAAATGAAAGTTGATACGGCCATGTTCGCAAAGCATACATACACAGACAGGATATGTAAAATGATCTCCCAAAAATAACAACAAAAACAGTAATAAGGCAACATGTAAAAATGAAAATGTATTTCAATTTAGCAAAATATCCCCTTTAGACATTGATTTCCTCCGCTGTCATTTGGCAAAATATTGTTTTATGACTTTTTAAGTGAAACACACAAGTTCTCTACTTTTAGTCACATAAAACTGGCACATTTTATATAAAACCAGTCAATCATAATTTAATATGTTTTCCATCTCCCCCTCCCCTCTGGTTCCCTCCATTCTCAGATCTGTGTCATTTCTACCCAGAGTGAACAGACTGACGACAGCCATGAAAGCAGCCAGCATCATAACAGCACATCCTCCAAACATGTGTCTGGTGCCGCTCCCCTCCTCCCCTCCACCTGTTCCTGCCGTCTCCCCATGAAGAGCCAGCAGCCCGAAGCAGGCCAGCAGGTGGAGAGGCAGCCGGAACCAGGCCAGCACACTCTGCCGCTTTTCCTCTGGGATCACCCTGCCGTGGAGAAAGCTGACTGCAGGGAAGTACAGCCCACTGGCCAGCTCCAGCAGCAGGAAGGCCAGAAAGGATTCACGTGGCCTAGGTTGACCAGGGGTGGTGGAAAAGGTCAACATAAAGAGAGAGAAGAAGGCCATCAACACAGCCAGGCAGAGAACGTGGCCCGGCTGCAGGCGGTAACGGGTGGAGGTGGCCAGGCGGTAGAGCAAGGAGCCAGCCATGCTTGCAGCCATCAGGCAGGAAAAAACGATTCCCAAAGGGGGCCCATGGGGGTCCAGAACTGGGGTCCACAGAAAAATAAAAATGTAGAGGACACTTTCAAACAGAGCCTGCACTCCACCTAAGAGCATGACTCTCCTGTCTGAGAGCAGGCAGCGCAACCCATCATGGCAGCTGCGTGAAAATCGGGCCCTTGCAGACAAACGGGCTACCCCTGCATTTGGAGTGCCAAGAGGCAGTTTCTGTTTTTCCCCTTCAAGACCTTCTTCAGCCTCTTCCTTGCCCCAGTCTGTTAACACCACCCAGCCACAGCACGCCAAGCAGGGGACAGCCAGGAGAAAGGGAGCCACCGGCCCCAAGTGGAGCCACTCAGCCAGCAAGTTAGCCACCAGCCCTGCTCCCACGGCGAGACCATGATTCCATGTAGCAGCTTTGGTGAAGGTAGTGGGGATCCACTCCTTGGGAAAATCGTGTACTTCTACATGACGGTGCACGTACCAGGATTCAAATGTGGTGGTGAGCAGGGATGTGGACAGACCCCCCAGGATCCGACCCACAATCAAAACAAAGTAGTCTGTGGACAGCTTGGTGAGACAACAAGCAGAGTAGGATACGCAGAAGAGAAGACATGTCTGTCTGCGGCCCAAGACTTGAGGGAGCCAGCCTGAAAAAGGGGCAAACAGAACACAGGAGGCCAGGCCACACACATATAAGATCGCTATTTGAGATTCCAGGAAGCTGTAGTGGCGGTACAGTTTGTAGAGGTAAGGACCCTGGAGCCAGTCTGCCCACAAAGCCAAAAGGTATGCCCGCAGGAATATACTCTGGAAGCGACGGAACGCGGGGTTGGCTACAGCAGTAGGAGCAGACTGAGGTGGGGTGAGGCGGCGTGCTGTGAGCTCCAGGACAACACACAGGGCAAGCAGGAAAATGATGGCAAGATATGCTGTCACCAACATGGTGTGATAAACTGCACCCACTTGGGCTCAAACCTCACGTCTTAGGGTGTTTTCAACTCTCTTCTTTCTATTTCTCAGCAACTGTGGAGACAGGAGAACAGAGATTAAAGACAGAAATGAGAGCGTTTACGTTGCCACTGAATCAGTTTAGTAATTCGTCGTGGTAATTCGCTGCTAACTTTGCTAATAAGCTTTTGCTCTAGAACATTTTGTTAACAACACAACATATACGATATTAGCTAGACATAGTAGTGGTAGTATTTGGTTACCTGCATCAATGACGGAAAGTTAGACATGTGACAAAATGTCGTTTTGTTTACTTTAACACGTTGAATGTACCCTGTCGAAATGCTTTTGTTATTATGGTAACGCTAGCCTACATGCTAACCTGCTGCAGACGTTGAGATACAATTACAACTTGCGGAACTAACCTACCATATGTTTTTGATTATATTATATACTTTATGGTATATCCTACCGTGCCGTTTGACGCCGGTCCCATATTAGTAAACGGCGTACATGAACCATTACTAAGTGATGAATGGTGAATGGTAAGAGTAGCAAACAGGCTATTCACTTCCGGGATCCGGGTTCTTTTATTTCACCACAAGGTGGCATGGCATCACTACTTTACCTTTTGTTTTCCAGCAGGTAGGAACACGTTTTCTCATATTTCCAGACCTCCTGTTTTGCAACTATCTCAGACCTATGAACTCTAAAGGTAGTTCGTTATGTGAAGTAAGTGTTATTTGTAAAAAAAACTGAATGTGTTGGGAAATAGGCACACAGACTACATCTGTAGGCTTACACCATGCTAAAGGCTAATGCTAATGAACTAGCCAATGTCTGACCTAGATTTCTAGCTAGGCAAACACCCGTTTATGTAACCCTACAATGCACACCCAAACAACACAACGGGTATTATGTAATATAATGACAATGACAAGGTACGTCTAACTTCATTTATGCCAAAGCACACTTTTAGTTGCACGAGGCTACTCATTTATTATATCCATACAGTCCTAAAAAGTGCTGAATCTATTACAATTAAAGTTCTGCATCCAGAATCCTAAATATCAAAAGTGAAATAACTTTTTTTTAAATGTTCCCTGTTACTGGTACTGTTACATGTCAGTATTACATGTCACTACAGATGTGTCAGTGTGAAAGCAAAATTGTTTTGTCGAAGCTGATTAAGGTGTATTAACAATAAAGTATATTAACAATACATGTAGTTTAGGTCGGACTGCAAGATAAATACGAGAGGCCGTAAAATGATTAACTGGAGAGGAAGGAAGAAAGAACAAAACACTGCACATTTGTAGGCTATTTATTATTTGGACCTTTCTCTAATGCTGGATGTATTTGTTTTAAATTAGCGTTAAAGTTAACGAGATTGGCAACCAGTCATTTGATCCTTACTCTTAACAATGTGTACGTTTATAATGTAATAGTATCATAGGCAAAGTAAATAGTAACTATGCCTGTCAAATAAATGTATTACGGTAAATAGTTTAACATTTCCCTCTTAAATTAAGTGGTCCTAAAAAATAAAGCAGCATTAAAGCAGCACATTGATCTTAAAATAGTAAAATAAGTGTACTTTCCACCACTGGTTCTAACTTCATCTTTACTACATTTTGCCTGAATGGATACAAATAATGACACAAAAACAGAGTAATAGATTATTTGAACTTTATATCATTATATAATTTCTATATAGGAATACTTATTTACAAAATGTACAATCAGCCAAAATCAAACAAACAAACAGTGAGAAGACCAATCAAATAAGATTGCTCACAAAAATATCTCTTGTGTTTGTATGACAAACATTGGGGGCAGAGGAAGGGTGAACGTTGGAGTGAATGCTGGTGACTTCAGGGATTATGCTGGTTGGTTACATCATCAGTGCGTCTAAGCCATCTAAAAAATCCCTACCTCATATTCTCCTGTGCAAAACCCCCTTGGCATGGCCAAACCCAAACCTAATACGGGAAGGTCAGTACATTCTTCTTTGCACCAAACTCGTCTGTCCTGTCCATCACATCAAATCAGTCATTGATACCTTGACATTAGGGTCATATAATATTTACAGCATCAAAAATAAACAAAGGAACTACAAATCCAAACATGCATGACGTGTCTCGACCAGTCCAGCAGTCATACAATATAGTGACACGGATACAATGTTTTTTTGAAATAATAAAACATGCCATTCACTTATGAAGGAGTCAAACTTAGACTTAAGGTGCGCCTGGAAGATTTGTCAAAAAAGTAAGAGACTGAATGTATGCTGTTGTGTACAAGTGCCAAAATAGTGGTCTCATTTGAGTAATGCAGGTGGTATGTTTGTGAAACATTGATACACATTTACCTTTAATATTTCGCTTTTCACTATGTATTATGTACAGGTTCCCTTTACCTTAACCACAGACATACAAAGTCAGTCAGCCCTAATGTTCCCTAAGTGAGTGCTGTCTTTTAGCTACTGCTTAGTGATGGAAGCTGCACAGCATAAGGAATAAACAGAAGTGAACAGATTTTATTCTTAGGTACACTGGACATATTGAGCAAGTGCACAAATAATTTCTCCAAAACAGCAATACTAAATCTACGTGGTCATACATTTCTCTACTGAGACAATGTCTTTCAAGAGATGTTGAGGTTTATGTGTATACATGAGTAAGTATAATCAATAGTGAATCAAAAGGTTTGTTACTGCCTTCAATTATTCTTTGAAAACCACTCCTCAGGTTTTACAAATCCTTTTTCTTCAATTTTCTAGAAGGTCCTGTCCATGGAAGATAATATCTGTGTGTGTTCTGTATGTTTTTCTGTAAAACAGTTTGTGTCTGTGTTCTCCGTGAACAAGTGGCCTGCTTAAGGGTCAATGCGAAAGGCCAGCAGTTTGTCGGAGTGCATATTGTTGAGGGTGCGCAGGTCTGGCAAGCGCAGGAGGAGTTTAGGGAAGAGGGTGTTCTCATCTGGGCGACGGCGAGTGATCAGTGACCGTAGGGCACGGATCAGACCCTCCTGAAGCTGCTCCACAGCCTGCATGTCCAAGATGCCAGAACGATCTAAGGAGCACAGAGGAGCGTCAGTGTTAGTGTTTGACAGAAACAATTACTACACTATTGGTTCATTAATAACATTTTACTCCTTTGTCACTGTTTTCATTATGTAAATAGTGTGCCTCTCTCACCTGCAGACACCAGCACCACAGCCATAAAGAGGGCCATTTCATCAGGCTCTAGCCCCAGGGAGCCCAACTTCTCACTGAAGTCAAACATTGCGTCCAGCAGAGTGCCCATGCCTAAGGCCCGCAGGGTGGACAGTGGGTAAGTTTGGCCGTTCAGGAAAGTCACTGTACGCTCCTCAGCATTGAACAAGGTGCAGAACCTCACCATCAAAACCTAAACACACAAGAAACAAAAAGATGAGTTTGAGTCAAAAACGTACACTAAGCAAACATTTGGACTCGCAAAGAAGGAGCCACATGCCTTACATATTTCATCTTAATCATCAAAAATGTATGTCCTTACCTGGAAAGTGCCTGATTTGAGCAGCATGACTTGGTCTTGTTGGCCAAGCTCTTGAAACCCTGGGATGCCCTTGGCGAACTCTACCACCTCCTTGACAGCAGGAGTAAAACACTGCGAGAAGGATTCCCATATCTGCTGACTCGTGCACTCTGCCCCTGATACAGGCCACGCATTGAGGGGACATGCCTTTAGAAAAGACAAAAGAAATAGAACAATTAATAAGTTGCTGATCAAATAAGACACATCACAAGAGTTATGATCTGATCATATGCTTTCTGCACTTACCAGCACTTTAGCTCCTGAAGCTAATTTCCATGGGCAGGAGGGCTGGTTTTGGGAACCTGCATTGTGAAAACTGTTATGATTGGCAGAGCTGCCCCTTTGAGAGGTTGTACTGTTGGACTGATCTTGATTCTGATTTGTTGAAACTAAGTAGGAGGAGCAATTGTTGTCAACATTGTGGAATGTGGATGTGTTGTCATTAGGGACAACAGGGTAAGACTGATAACTCTGGATGGAGGCGGGGTGAGAGGACACTTGGGGAAAGCTGGCATCCTGAGAAAAGGGACATGTGTTGGAAGAGATGTTAGAGCTCTTGGTTGATCTCTCTTCGCTGTTGCTGCTGGTGAAGATGTCGCGATAGGCTCTGGAGATTTCCCCGATGGCCTCTTTTGAGTTGCCATCTTCTGTGCAGCTGGCAGTTTCCCTCACTGAAGGGGATTCCATCTCCATGGCAGCTGACTCATTCAGGCTATTCATGTAGCTCTGCATCTCATCCAGGAGCCGCTGCTTCTCTCTTTTGGGGATGCGGCCAAAACGCACAGCTGGTGAAACACAATCAGTGAGAAAAGATCAGTTTTCAGCTATTGTAACAACATGACATTTTGACAAGTTCTCAAACAAAACCTTAGACACATTCTTAAAGATCAAGAGGCTGGCTATAGATTAAACTAAGCTTAGTGAACCAGTTACCCATGAAACCTCTATATACAGACCACAGAATCACCCTAACATGTGGAAGATTCTAAAGAGTCACATCCCAAGTTATGAGATAAAACTTTCCTCTCTTCACCCCCTTCCCACAGTAACCATCAGCTGGTGAGGCTATTTATAGATCCCCTGCTACCATCTGCCTCATCCTCTTCTCTATCCACCCGTCTCCTTCCTCTCAAGCTCCCTCCCTCCCTTTGTAAGTAGGGCAGTGGGGCAACGTGAGCATGATGTCACTGGCACTGAGATCGTGATAGGGAGAAGGATGAGAGAGGTGGGCTTGAAGGGCATAAACGAGTTGCAGAGACATGTTTTAAGAACATGAAGAGGACTGATGTGAGAGACTGATGGGTAACACTGTGTGTTAGTGTTTCTGTGCTGGTGGATTAAAGATAGCAGAACAATTTTTATAGTATGTTTAAATGTATTTTTTTAGAAGTGTGGCAAAAGATTCTTCTGCATAAATAATTTGTATTACAAAGCAATGTACTGTTACTCCCACTATGTTAAACATATGACATTTACATAAAACATAAAACTGCAGTGTTAAGTTGAACGAGGTGATTCACTTAACCTAATATGCACAGATATTGCTCAAATAAAGAAGCAAATGCGGAAAAATAATGCTTTGGTTAGAGGAAGAATAATGTGCCATCATGCCAACGGACTGAATCATTTGCCTATGCTGCAGAGCTAAAGTCACACAGCTGCGTGGTGTGAAATCAGGGTGTAGTATTTATTGTGGGCTGCAGGCAGTTGCATGCGGTTTTCCTGTTTTCGTAATGATTGAAGCAGAGCAAAAATGGGTTTCTAGGTTGTGGTTATTTAGCATTTTCAAGTTTGCCTCTATGAGGGTCAACCTAACTGTTTTCTTATTGAGTCGTATTATGACACCCTATATTCTCTGTGCACCAGAAGTGTCAAGCACATGCAGAAAGAACAGCCACCTGTTTACTTGATAAAGCAATGACGGGTGCTGGAGGGTGGAGATAAGCAGAAACCATACTGAGAGGAAGAAGGAAGGCAAACTATACCAAGTAGGTCAGGGTGTGCGAGTACACTATAG